TTTCAATCCATTCCATTAATCCATTAGGTTAGGTTTATGCGTTTTGAGCTAAACCGTCCCTAGTATGTCACCGTTCCATACTGGTACATACAATCCTCCATATCCAGGTAACTTACAACATATATAACAGTTTAATAATTTACAGACCCAAAAACCACCATCCAAACAATTGCAGAAAAATATTTAAAGCTTCAGCAATTTAAATCCAAGCATTTAACCATATAGTTGCAGGAAACGATTTAATAATTCAGCAACTAGCCTCCTAAGCATGCATAGATCAAAATTAATGTGTTAGGGACTCCATCATGCATGTGAATAGGTTAAATAATCCTATTATTATCCAATAAATTGCTAAAACAATTTCAGAAGATTGTTTAATATTTCGGCAATTTAAATCCAAGCATTAACCATATAGTTATAAGAAACGATTTAATAATTTAGCAACTAGCCTCCTAAGCATGCCTAGATCAAAATTAATAATTAAATGACCTTATCATGCACTTGAATGCATTCTAAAATAAGTTTTATAAACACATTATATTCTATCAAATTGCAGAAATTGAATTCAACAATTAATTCAACTTCCAATTGTTAACAACATAGGAAGTGCCTTAATTTTTACACTGTTTGTCCCGACAATTTAGAATTAAACTTTAATCAATTCAGGGTCTTAATAACACTCAAAATTCATTCCTTAATCCCTCTGTAAAGTTCCAAATTCACTCAAACAGTCTCCATGCTCCAACAGTGAACATAGTACGTAGAAAATTAAAAAAAAAAAAACTTAAAATAAATCAAAAATAACAAGGGAGCCTGCTCCAAATTTTGGAGCAGGCTCTTTTCCAGCCCAGTGCCGGCTCTAGGACTCCTTAGAGCCGGCTCTACTTTGTTGTGGGAGCCGGCTCCCACTTCTATGGAGCCGGCTCTCACCTCATTTGAGAGCCTTCAGTCCCCGGTGCGTCGTTTCAGCTCTTGTGCTCCTTCTCCGGCCTATTCCTATCACTCTGTCAGTTTTTAAAACCAAACTTAGGTGTCATATTAATACCCAGTAGCATCCCAATGGCTTGATAACAATAGTTAAAATCAATTACAGAGATTAAATTTGCTACCGAACTAACCCGCGTTAGGAACAAAACTGAAACTATAATTCTATTCCAACCTCTCAGTTTCTCTTCACAAACTGATCTCAAGAGTCTTATATTATCCCATTAACATCCCCAGGGTTTGTTTACAGAAGATAAAAGCAAGAATCTTAACTAAAATCTCAACAGATTTTAATATGCTTTAATGAACAGAACTGGGAGCAACAATACACGAACTGTAAACAGATTTGAAATCAATGCAAACAAATCATCAACAAGCATACATTAAACACATAAGTTTCAATTACTAATTAGTTAATCCCTAGAGAATATCTAGGTGCACAGAACACGAGCCAAAGAGAATGAGGAAGATAAGAATTTGCCTGTGATTTCAATTTTGAAATCCCTGTGTCGTCTCTAAGTTTTCCGGCAATTCTGAACGCCGCCAAGCTTCCTATAACTCTGTCTCTAATCCTTACTCAACCTCCTTGGTCCTCTCTATACAATTCCTCTTAAGCCTCACTCTGTTTTCCCACAACTGCTCTCTGTTTCTCTCTCTGTATCTTTGGTACGTGAATAGGGTTTTTTCCAACCCTTAATACAGATTATAACCGTATATATATAGGCGAAAAAAAACATAAACCCTAATCCGTGTTTAATCAGAGACAGAGCCCTAATTCTAAACCTAGTCGGCCCATGAAACTATCTCTATTACGACTTACCTATACGTGAAATTCCAACCCCAAAGTTAACTGTAACTTAAAACAGAATTAAATGAAAAAAAACAATTAAACAATTAAATCCACTTAACTAATTAATTCCAATTAAATATCCCAATTAAATAATTTAAAACACTTAAACAATAAAATGCCAATTAAATAATAAAAGATAACTTAATTCAATTTAAAACACATGACACATAGGTAAACAATAATTAAACCAAATAATCACATAAAACCAATTTAATTCAAATTTCAAATAACCAATTAAACAAATGAAAAAAAAAACAATAAAATAAATAAAAATGTGATAAAGACAATAAAATAAATAAAAATGCAATACAATAAATATAAAAAAAATGCCGAGACTATCCTTTTTTAAAAATTAGGGGTATTACACTTTGTATCTCACAATTTCATTTTTCTCATTACGCTTTCGTACAAACACCCATTTGTATCCAACAGGATTAACACCCACAGGTGTCTGGACTACTAGTCCAAACACTTCACGTTTAGCTAATGAATTTAGCTCTACTTGTATCGCTTTTTTCCATTTTGACCAATCATTTCTTCGTCGACATTCTTCGACGTTTTGAGGTTCTGCATCCTCATTATCAATATCAAGAGCAACGAAATATGAGAATATGTTGTCGACAACAATTTCATTTCTATTCCATCTCGTTTCATAATTTAGTGAGATCTCATCATTTTTAGGTACCTTCGCCTCATCAAGGGCATATACCTCATCAAGGGCAACATCATCATCTGTTGCCTTTGCCTCATCAATATTTATTATTTCATCATGTTTACCTGAGACTCATCAAGAGCTTCTGCCTTATCAAAGGCTATTGTCTCAGATTGATCAATAATATTTGTTGCTCCTTTGGTGGCCTCTTCAAGAGTGCCAACTTTTCTTTGTGATTTCCTCTTACGAGGAACAGTATCTTTTGCACCAACTGGTCAGCCACGCTTCAGGCGTGTTTTAGATGCATTTGCTGCATTACTAACAAAAGGTCCCTCAGGGACAGCAATTCAAGCTAGAATATTTGTAGCTGGTATATGTGATTTTATCACTTTCTTTGTATCAGTAAATGCATTAGGTAATTGATTTGCAACATTTTGCAAGTGAATGATCCTCCTCTGAACTTCTCGTTTACATTGGTTTATGCGAGGATCAAAATGAGACAATTCCAGAGCATTCCAAGTAAGATCACGTTGCTGCTGTGTCTTTTCTCCTCCTAATGGTGGGAAAACAGTCTCATCAAAATGACAGTTAGCAAATCGTGCTTTAAAGACATTACCTGTCAGGAGTTCAAGATATCTAATAATAGATGGAGAATCAATACTAACATAAATTCTAAGTCTACGTTGAGGACCCATTTTAGTGAGTTGCGGTGGTACAATTAGAACATATACAGCACAACCAAAAACTCGTATATGGGAGATATTTGGTTATTGACCAAAAACAAGTTGCAATGGTGAGTACTTATGATAAGCAATTGGTCGTATACGAACTAATGATGCAGCATGCAATATGGCATGACCCCAGGCAGAAATAGGTAATTTTGTTCGCATAAGTAAAGGACGACCAATTAACTGAAGCTTTTTAATAAAAGATTCAGCCATACCATTTTGAGTATGAGTGTGTGCAACAGGATGTTTAACATTAATTCCAACTGATATGCAATAATCATCAAAAACTTGAGAAGAAAATTCAGCGGCATTATCAAGACGGATTGTCTTGATTGGGTAATCAGGATTGTGTGCCCGTAATTTGATGATTTGAGCAAGAAGTTTAGCAAATGCAATATTACGAGTAGAAAGTAGACAAACATGTGACCACCGTGTTGAGGCGTCAATTAAGACCATAAAATAGCGAAATGGTCCACAAGGTGGATGAATTGGCCCACATATATCCCCGTGAATTCGTTGTAAAAATAGGGGAGACTCAATAATGACTTTTGAAAGGGATGATCTGATAATCAACTTACCTTGTGAGCAGGCGGTGCATAAATGATTATTTGGTAAGATGAGCTTTTGATCTTTTAGTGGGTGTCCATGTGAATTTTCAATAATTCGACGCATCATTGTACTCCCCGGGTGACCAAGTCGATCATGTCAAAGCATAAAAAGTTTTAGGTCACACGATTTTTTATGTATCACAACATTTGACTCAATTGTTCTAATGGTTGTATAGATAACCCAGAAGGGTAAACATGGAGTTTTTCTAATATCGGTTTTTTGCCTGAGGTAATGGAAGTAATGTAGAGATATTCCACATTTCTTTCATTTGCAGTTTCAATATGATTCCTATTACGACGCAAATCTTTAAAACTCAACAGATTTCTCCGAGATCTTATAGAATATAAGGCATCACTAATTTGTAATCTTGTTCCACGTGGTAAAATGATGTTGGCTCGTCCAGAGCCTTCAATCAAGTCGGTGGGACCGATATAGTACTGACACTGGCGTCTGTCAGAGTTAAGTGGGAAAAATATTTTTGATCTCGAATGATTGTATGTGTTGTTCCATTATCTACAAGACATATGTCTTCTCCATTTATTTTGGAACTAGTCAGATCCATTCCTATTCATGCAAATTTCTTTATCAGAAAAGAAACTTTTATAACAAAAGAAACTTTAATACAAACTAGAAAATAAAAACTTTAATACAAAGAAAATAAAAACATAGTAGCAGAACATGAAAATAAAATAAGATTAATTGGTGTGGACATTTCCATCACCAATCAGGAAGTCTATCCTTCTATCACGGTCCTCAAAAAAATCTGATACATCCAGATTTGTGATGTTAACTGGCTCATTATGATTAATGAAATTCATTTACAGATTTGTGATGTCAACTGGCTCATCATAATCAAGGAAATTCATTTCCTTTTATTTCCCTTTTTCTTTCATTGAGGCTTGGTAAAGATCAACCAGATGCTTAGGTGTACGACAAATACTTTGCCAATGTCCCGTCATTCCACATCAGTAACAAGTATTATCATGTGACTTGGAAGGTTGAGCCACATCTTTCCCTTTTACCTGTTTCATTTCATTATGATCTCTCATTTGAGGATATGGTGTGGATCTCTAATTGCGAAAATGTGAGGATTGATATCCTTTACGGTAATAAGAATGATTTCTACCACGATCATATTCATTATTGTGGTAGTTATTTTTACCACGACCATATTCATTTATACCACCACGACCACATCCACGTTGGCATCCACGACTACGGGATGAGGCAACATATGTTTCAAGGATCGGTGTCGATCTAGTTGGACGGGACTATTATTTTGCTCTGCCACAAGCAAACATGATATCAGTTCTGAATATTTTTTAAATCTACGCTCTCGATATTGTTGTTGTAAGTGCACATTCGAGGCGTAAAATGTGGTGAATGTTTTTTCCAATAAAAGTTCATCAGTAATAGTATCACCACATAATTTCAAAGTAAAGCTGATTTTAAATAAGGCAGAGTTATATTCAGCAACAATTTTAAAATCTAGCAACCGTAGTTGCTGCCAATTAGCCGGGGCCTTTGGGAGGATCACTGTTTTTTTATGATCATATTTTTCTTTCAAATTGTTCCACAAACAAAGTGGATCTCTTTCAGTGAGGTATTCAGTTTTTAGTTCCTCGCTAATATGGTGTCGGAGGAAAATCATAACCTTTGCTTTATCTTGTAATGATACATCATTTTCTTCTTTAACTGTGTCTTCAAGGCCCATGGCATCCAAATGGATCTGAGCATCCAGAATCCAAGATAAATAATTTTTGCCAGAAATATCCACGACTATGAATTCCAGCTTTGTCAAATTTAACATTTTCAGAATAATTATATGTAACAACAATATAAAGATATAATTTAGCATAGTATATAAATAAATGGCATGAAATGAAATAATAACATAATATGAATTATTTAAATAACAAAGTTAGTAAAACTAGCCATAGGAAATAAATTATTAAATAATAAAAGCGGTAAAACCGGCCATAAATTATTAAATAATAAAAGTGGTAAGACAAACCATAATTAGTAAATCATTAAATAATAAAGGTGGTAGAACTGACCATAGTGTAAGCACATATATCATTTAAGTGAACAACTTTATTTTATAAACAATAATCTATAATTAAAATTTTCTTACCCTTTGAAGTCAGGAATTCAATGTTCTTTGATATAAACAAAGCAACCCAATAATCTATCGAAACTAATATCACAAAATAGATATATAGTTGAGATAGAAAGAGGGAGATAAAGTTTCTTCTTCAAATCTCAGAAGGATCTAGTTCGTGCTGATAACGTGTAATAAACATGTGTGTGTATATATATAAAGTAATATTTACGAGAGAAATGAAATATAACTTTCGCAGAAAGAGAGGGAGAGAGAGAGAGAGATGGAACAAAAGACCATCAGTAGTATACAACAAGCCTATTGTAACGGGTGGACGCTTGCCCATCCAAAAGCTCGAACTATTGGGTAGTGCTGCATACCCACCCATTTATACCCAATCACTTTCCCATCCGATTCCGATGTGGGACAAATGACCCTTGTTACATTCTTCCCCACCCAAACTCGCAACGCCCTCGTTGCGGTTCAGGCCACCCTGCCTACCCGGGATGCTAGCCCGGACGCCTTCCGGGCCGGGTGCTTGGCGTGACACCGGATCAAGGACTGGGTCTGGCTCTGATACCAACTGTAACGGGTGGGCGCTTGCTCATTTACCCAAAAGCTCGAACTATTGGGTAGTGCTGCATACCCACCTATTTATACCCAATCACTTTCCCATCCGATTCGGATGTGGGACAAATGACCCTTGTTACACCTATACATAGGCATACGCTTCCCAAGCAAGCCATAATAATGGCTTTCGCACTAAGCTAATCTTCCGAACTTAGTTTATTGTGGACCCCACACACTTATATATATATATATATATATATATATATATATATATATATATAAGTATATATTATTATGGTTATTATCTAAAAATAACATCACACATTTGGAGTTAAGTTTTATATTTACCCATAGCTCCTCTACAAAGTCCAAAGTCGGGATTAACTCAGCAACGAGTTAGGGTTACGATCGAGTCAATCGACTCAATCATCCACCTACGTCCTCTATAAAGTATAAACCGCGCAGCGAAAACCTTTCACAGTCTTCGCGACAGCTTTCGGACTCCACCGACAAAACCATCAACAGTCAAATCACTATCGTACGACTCGGCATTCTGCTAAAACCCTAAGCTGTTTCGATCTCTGCAAATATGGGGGATAACAACGATGCCTCCACGCGCAGCGACAAAGCCCGCGCGGTGAAAATTGCAGCGGCGAAAATTGAGGCGGCGAAAATTGAGGAACTCAAACAGGTACTACTCTGATCCAGTGAATCGATGTTTATACCAATTCTAGGGTTTTCTTCGTTAATTTCGTAGTTACGCGATAATCTTCTCGTAAACCTAGGTTTTGTTTGAGTTCAATTTGATACGCGTGTTGGTTATATGGCTTTGGCATATCTGATACTGGATTTCGTGTGGTGGATTAAAATTTGATTGTTGATGCAAGGAACTTGTGGTATTAAGTCTGTTTGATTACAGGCGAACAAATTTGATGTCTTTTGTATCTTTCTATTTGTTGCATATGAATGCCACAAGGTCATCTCATTTTGCCAAATATTAGTTCATCAATTTATTGAGTTGAATTATATTTTTTCAGAATTGAACTGTGTAATAATGGAATGTTTTAGTATTGTTTAAATTTTGTTTTCTCTTATGTCACAATAACTAAGATGGACATCAAGCATATGATTGTTTTTTCTTTTAAGACTTGTAGATTGTATATTTTGCTGTTTGAAAACCCCCATTCTTATTCTAGGCAACCACACAAACATACTGGAAACCCGTGCAGTGTTGTAGGCATGGTTGTTAAAATCGGGATTCTACACAAAATTGTTTTGGACTCCGTAGAATCGGAATTGTAGAATCGGATCGTGAAAATGGTAAGATTCTACCAAATTGTGAAAAAACAATTGAAACTAACTTCTTGAACAATAAGATCTGTAAAATATAACAAAAATAAGGCTAAAACACACAATTTTACATATCCATGAGTTCACAAATCTCAAATCCTAACAATATTCCTAAATCCGAATATAAATAAAAGAGAATGTAGCTCAAAATAACATGAGTTCACGAATCTCAAATCCTAACTCATCCATCTCCAAAGTTAGAAACTAAAATTACATATCAAAACGAATTTTTTTTTTTTTTAACTCTGCAATTTCCTTTCTTCTTCTTCTTCTTCTTTTTTTTCGAAAAGTGAAGAAATAAAAAGACCATTTTGTCCACCAATCCAAGTGTTACAGTGTATTTGACCTTATTAGTCACAAGTATGAAATTAATCCAGAGTTAGTACAACAAAATTAATGAACCACATATTAACTCGATCTCATTATGCTATCAGTTTAGACTACACGATTATATACTTTGGTTGGCATATCCGGCAAGTCTTCTAAGCTTTTAAATTATTTTTAATTTTTAATATATATGATAAGTCTTCATTTAAAAATAAAAAAAAATTAGTCAAATGAAAATATTGATCATGAAACCAAAATTTGCCTAAACCTGTTAGCCACGAGTATGCATCCTTGAGATATAATTGATCATTTTAATTTTTTAGAATTAAACACAAAAATACTTATTGAAAAAAAAAAAAAAAAAACACAAAAATATATTATGGAACATCGACCTGCATGGTAAAAATAATTGATATATATACATATATATATTTCTTTTTCTACCACTAATGAAAAATAATTGATATTGATGTGACTTAATCCTAACATGTTAGCCATGAGTATGCATCCTTGAGATATAATTGATCATTTTAATTTTTTATAATTAAACACAAAAATATATTATGTAACATCGACCTGCATGGTAAATAATTGATATATATACATATATATATATTTCTTTTTCTGCCACTAATGAAAAATAATTTATATTTTATAGAATAAATATTTAACTTTGTATACTATACTTGGGCCAAGCCTCTTTTATTTTGTAGCCCAGAAGAAACCAATCCAAAAATAAAGGAACCAGCCCAAAAATAAAGGCCCAAACAACCAATTTTGTAGAATTGTACGATTCTACCCCCGATTCTACCAAATGAACGATTTTGCTAAGATTTGGTTCAATTTCGGATTTTGTCTGCGATTCTATGACTCAAAATTGGGATTTTGACACCCATGGTTGTAGGATAACTGGACTACGTTGCTAAACATTACTCATATATTATATAGTTTTTCGGCTTATTCCAAATGTTGTTTCAATATAATTTTTTCTTCTTCTCAAATGCAGATAGCAAAGAGTCATCCCACTGGTATGACACCCAACATTCTGAAGCTTTTTGAACCCCGACCTCCACTGGAGTATAAACCACTTCCAGAGAAGAAAAAATGCCCACTGTATACAGGTGATATCTTCAGGAATTGAATTGTATCAACCTATCATTAAGTAGTTCTGTATAGCCCTAAAGTTACTTTCTGTTTTTTTTTTCCCCTCTTTCTTTTCAAAGGTATGGCACAATTTGTCAGTAACTTTGCTGAGCCAGGAGATCCTGAATATGCTCCACCTGTCCAAAAGGCTGAAACTCCTGTAAGATCATGACTTCTGCATGAAACCATACTACTTAGTGATTTGAATTGGATATTGATCTGACAACTTTTTCATATTTTATATTGATTTTTGTATGGTGTAATTTCATATTTGATTTTTATATCCCAATGATAATGGCTTTTGCAATCCATATCAAGGAGGATGTCTTATTTATGTTGTTTGACCTGATCGTTAATCATGAATTACTTCTATTCTAGTACTTCCCCATTCGATTCTCTGAAGTGTTGCAAGTAGGTCTATGTACTCACAGTTCCAGAAGTTAGTGTCACTATGTATTTGTTTATTAAATAGTTTTAACACTTTTGACTCTTAAATTGGACACATCTTTGTAGAAGTGGCGTTGCACTTGTTAATATTGAAGAGTGTGCATTTGGGATACAAACAAATTTGTTTACTCTGGTTGTAATTGCTTAGCCTAACTTCGCTTTCAGGGGAGGTCGACCAAAATTAACATGGAATGAAGTGATAAGAAATGATTTTAAAAAAATTAAATTTAGTAGGAGAAACAACTTATGAGAGAAAAGATTGGGAAAAGAGAATCTAGGTCATGTGGTTGACACCATGTGTACGGGATAAAGGCAAGGATGATGATGATGAATAATTTTGCTTTCGGGGGCAAAATTTTGGAGAGTTGCTACATTTGTCAAAGGGAATATGGAAGATTTTATGGAGTTCAAAAGTAAGTTTGCAAGTAAGTGCCTATTAGTGCACTTATCATATAAATTTCACTAGCATATTTTTTATAAGTCAAAATTTACTAGATTTTCAACCTTGAATATTTTTTGCTTCTAATGATCTTATGGGACACTAATGCTGTGTTCGGTAGGAAGGAAGGAAGAGGTGTGGAGAGAAAATAGGAAGGAAAGAACGAACTTCCTTTATTTGGTAGAGATGATAGAAGGAAAGAAAAGAAAATAGGAAGGATGACCCATCATTCCTCCTTTACAAATTTTCTTCCTCCCAAAAATGGGCAAAAGAAAAGAGGGAAGACAAGTGGACTGTTATAGAAGTTTTAAATTAAATACTATCCTAAATTATACTAGTTTTAAATTACAATACTATCCTCTATAAATTATAACATTATAAATATTATTGGATATGATGGTAAAAACAATTAAAATGTTCTCTTTACTTCTCTCTTAATAAACATAGGAAATTATAATCTTATTCGCTTCTCTTCTATCCAGCGGAATAAAAAGAAGGAAATACACAATCTTTTCCCTAAGAATGTCTCATCCATCCCTTCTTCTCTCCCTTCCATCCAATTTTTTTCTTTTCTACCGAACAGAGCATAACTACATCGTTTACAAGAGTGGCCTTCATTCTGGTAAAGGATATGTAATAATTGTAGTCAAGTTGGATTCAGAAAATACAGTAAGTTGCAATATACATGATTCAACAATTGACTTTCTGCCCCAGGTGCACCAAAATCATGATCTGCCATAGTAGTTGTGGAATGTGAATTGATTTCTGCCTTTTAAATCAACAATTGTATCAGATAACTTATGGCACGTGAATTGATCACTGCATTTTGAATCCGCATTTTCTATCAGATAACTTTATTGGTCTTCATTATTTTTACACACCATTAGCAGATGTTCTGCAATATTTTGGATGAATTACACTCACACACACATATTGTATGTGATAAAATCTGCAAGTATGGGTGAGTGGATGATGCATGATTATGTCGCACACCTGTAGAAAATTTATAATCGTGGACTAGACATCTTGGATTATTTTATGATACACTGTTGCATAATGCGTCTCTCAAGCATTCTTTGGTTGGGGGATAATTTAATTCTGCACTCTATACATCTTTGTTGATTCCTTTTGGTGGATTCAGGCACAAGTAAGGGCTGGAATCCACAAGTTACGGCTAGAGGAAGGGTCAAAAAAGGCTGCAGAGGAGCTTGAGAAATGTGACAATGCATATCACCTTTTTTTAATTGTAAAGTATACACTAGTGAAATTGATATCATGGAGTCATGGAGTTAACAGTTTAGTTATTTTTGTTCTTATACGTCGTCTTTGCAGATGATCCTAATAGTGACCCAAATATTTCTGGAGATCCATACAAGACACTGTTTGTATCTAGGCTTGTGAGTGATATTGTCCCATTCTTTAGCAAATTTTTAATGTTTGTCCAATATTTAATAAATATGTTGCTTGGTATTAATTACTTAAGAATCTTTCTGCTTTCAGAATTATGAAACCACGGAGAGCAGGATCAAAAGGGAGTTTGAAGCTTATGGGCCTATAAAGCGGGTAAGTATTATAGAGCATCCCAAGGGGGGCTCAGGTTATTGCCTTTTGATTCGGTAAGAGATTCACTTGTGTGCCATGGTGTTATAGGTCTCTTTTCTTATTTCATTTCAAAAGTTTTATATTTTTGGCTCTATTTTCAAGCTTTTGTTTTTTAATATTTTATCTCTATTTTTTTTTTTTTTTTTTTATTATATATCTACAATTTGCTTTTTCCCAAAATTTGGAAAAGACTTTGTTAAGTTGAGTTATATATCATATTTTGTTCTTCATATAAATATTATATATTATTTTTATTGTTCTCACAGTAATAACTTCAATTTTTTATTTATAGAGAGAAAATTTGAAGCTGAATAGCTATGAAACAATGACTTTGGTTTCTTAAAGGAGTCGACATATTAATTTAGGCTTTTATCTTGGCTGAAACAAAATCCTTTTCCTCAGGATTCTTACAAATAGAAATATTCCTCTGGTCAAGTTCATATATTTGGCCACTAAACTGTGTTTTGGGATTTGTCAGAACCCTGATATGTTGGTGATTTTTTTTGGCAAATACTTGTTTATATGTTCTCCATTTTGGCAAACTTCATTGCAATTATTATTTGTTGTTGTCAAATTTTGTACTTAGGTGGTGTGCACAACTAATGATGCATAGTCCTTGTTCTATTCGGCATTTGTAAAAAGTTTTAAGGAAGAATGAGCTTATTTTTGCTGTGAAACATAACTGGTGGAGGGTCAATTGAGCTAGTAATAATGGCACAGGTATCGTTGTCTATTTGCCTCTGGTAGTGTATGGATTTGTTTCTTTTGTCCCATGGTAACTCTCTCTGATACAGTTGGATTCAATGTCTTCTTTGGGATTGAGTATTGTGTTTAAGTTCTAGGTGGTGGTCTAGTATTAGATTCATCATATAAGCAGTATTCCTGGTAAGGGGTGGTTCTTTTGTTCCACGAATGATATTCGCGGTTCATAGATTTTCTACCAATCCAATTCTAAATATGGTCCTTCATCCTGCATGGCAAAGTTGGGAATTTTAAGTTGAGCAGAGCAGTGATGCATTGTGCCTTTTTGGCCATTATTTGCAAGCGACAAAAGGGGACTGACAACTTTTTTCTCTACTGGGTAAAACATATAGGGAGTATTAGCATCTCTCTCTTTTATTTTGATTTGTTGTACATGCTGTTCGTGCTACTAAAATTGTACTTTTGGCTTTAAAGGGTGTCAAAAACATATCAGCAGTTGAGAAGACTTCCCTGGTATTTCATGTATTATTTATAATTACTTTGTTATTTAGAATATATTTCCCTGGTAAGGGGAGGTTTTTCCCTGGTAAGGGGAGGTTTGTATGTTGAAAAACTGGTAAATTGGCTACTACATCAATTGTTCTGCAACTCTAGCGGTGGTGGTGATGCATCTCGCCTGTGGAAGCTGTATGATTTTAAGGTGAGCACGGCTAATGAGGCATAGTGCCTGCCCGCCGTGCCATTAGAATTTGTCATTTCTAAAGTTTTCAATAGAATTTTCAATTGATAAAGTTAATAAGCATCTGTAGTGACACTCTTTCTTTTCTTCAGATTTGATTCTTCTTTTGTAACTGTAGCTTATTATTATTATTATTTTTTTCTCAGATTCAATTGATTACTGACAAAGTCACAAATAAACCTAGGGGCTATGGTTTCATTGAGTATATGCATACACGGGATATGAAAGGTTTGGTTTAATCTATTTCATTTATTGATCTTCTCTCCGACATATTTTGTATTTGGTCTTTGAGAGCATGTGTATGTCTTGCAGATGCATATAAACAAGCTGACGGGACGAAGCTTGATGATAAAAGGGTCCTTGTAGATGTTGAACGTGGTAGAACTGTCCCAAACTGGCGACCTCGCAGACTTGGTGGGGGACTTGGAACCACTAGGGTTGGAAGCGAAGAAGTAAACCAGAAATACTCTGTGAGGTAATTGGCCTGCTTGATACATTTACACTAGCCTCTATTCATGACAAAAGAAACGCGTGAATTGACTTGCATGCGGTATAGAGTATATTTGCTAAGAACTTTAGTCATATGGATGATAGAGATGATGATTTAAATAGAAAACAACTGTAACTGTATACCTGTGAGAGAGTATGCAGACCTTTGGGATTTTATTTCCATATGAAGGCTAAAAACAATTTGCATACAATTTGAGAGACCAAAATATTGAATTTCAGAACATTTTGCACTTCTCATTTTTTAAAATAAATTTATCATTCTTCCTTCCTTTCATTTACTTAAGAACCTGGTTATACACCCCTCCCCCATTCTTTTTTTGGTCAATTTGTGTAGTGCTTTCTTCTCTGGTGGTGGTTGTAGAAGAGTTTTCATTCTGGGAATGACTTCCTTCTCTGACATGTCTGTCCTCTTGCTCTTTCATTCCCTCTATTTTTTCACAGTTTCTTACTTTCCATTTCTCCTTTTCCCAATTGTTGGCATTAAAGGTATTAGTTGCTTGGTGGTTTCAGTTTGGCTCCATATGTACCTAGAATTGGACTCTATTTTAATATTTGGTTTTGGTTCCTTTCCGTTCTGGTTCCAGTTCTAGTAGTTTTGGAACCTTCAATGACCCCCAACAATCTCATACTGTGAGATTGTTGGGTATCCACCAAACATATATTTTTTTAATTTGTTATTTTGGACACCAGTACTAAGAGTACAGCATCAACAGCGTGCTGTCTACTCAAAACTTCGTGTGGTAGCTGTCTCTGTATATTCAGTATGATTATTTATTAAATGAAACAACTTGTATTAGGTCAGAATTCCTCTTCTTTATGCAAACGTGGTAGTTTTTTATACATCCATTATATTGGTTTTAGTTACAAAGAAGCCATTGAAAAATTTAAATTATGGTAAGATATATAAAGAGGTGATGATAGATACTTACTGATGTTAAATAACTGAGACCAATTGTGATGAAAATCAAGTGTGTAGTTGATAAACTTTCTTTTCTCATTTCTCCTCCATTGGGATTGTTTTTCACTTGGTAATAATAATAAGGTTTACTATTAGGAAATAGTACCACAACAATTCTGGTTAGTTTGGTTGTTTATGTATTTTGTTAGATGCGATCTGTAGGGGAGGGGATAGCCTAATGGCAGGCTCTCACATCACATGGTTAAGTGCATGTGTGATGGGGACTGCATGTGTTCCATAGTGGCCTATGCGGTACTTTAAAGTGACACAACTATGTGTGATTATTTTTGAGGTCTTGTGATTTTGTCAAGCATTGTAAAATGTTTTGGCCCCTTTTTAAATGCTCAGAGAGCAACAACAATCAGGAGCACCACCTCGATCTGAGGAGCCAAGGGCACGAGGGGACAGGCATGAAGTCAGGTAATATTTCCGTTCATTATTTTGTTCATCTTTTGTGTATTCTAGGTGTTATTGTTCATGGTCAAATTTGTTCATTGCACACTGTTTGCAAATTAAACAAATTCTATAATGAGAAACCTTGATGGGTTGCGTACGAAATATCTATGTCTTACTCATGTCAGCAAATGGTAAATGTGTTTGCTGTTGAATTACAATGTTTCAGGCATATGGAAAAATCTCGTGACGGGGGAAGGGACAGAGGAAGAGAACAAGAGAGGTTCCATGAACGCTCGCATGACAGACCAAGGGATCGTGATCATAGAGATGATAGGCATCACAGAGATTGGGACAGAAACAGAGACAGGAACAAGGGGAGAGACCATGGTCGAGACCGTGACCAAGCACAGGACCGCGACAGAGCTCGGGACCGTGGTCGGGACTATGATCGTGGTCAAAACAGAGACCGTGATCGTGATCGCCATCGCCATCGAGAGGAGGAGAGGGATAGGGATTATGAGGTCAGGGACCCTAGCCGTGGTCGTTCCCGTGATGGTTATGACTATGACCAGGTGGAGTCAAAACAGCATCACAGACGGTCTTATGAACATGCTGAGCCTGAGAAGGATCCTGGATGGTACGATGAGCCTGAACACGGGCAGAGGCATGCAGATGCTGAACACCACCACAGACATTACCATCGGGATCGAGGACAACATGATAATTTGGATGTCCAGGGTGATGAAGTCTGAGCCGCGTGAAAGAGAGAACTCAAGATTTGGATTTTGAATATTGGCGCTCAGAGACTTTCTCGTACTACTAAGCAATTTTATGGTTAGCTTTTGAACTGGTAAGGTGACCTTATATATATGAAATATAAAGCTCTGCATTCATGTTTGCTACTGATCTCATGAATGAGTTTACGGACTGGCTTTGATCAAGCTCAAATAGAAAGTGGCTCGGGGCTCCTAGATTTTGGGATTATTTGCCCTTTATGTTATTAGGACTCTGTTCTATGTGGGGTTTTCAATTTTTGTTTTTGATGTTTGAAATAAACAGAAGGAATTTCATGGTACTAATATTTGCATTCTTACGACTTCTTTTGCATGTGAAGTAATTTTGGGTAAAGTTGCTCGCGGTTGCAAATCGATCCTAATGGTTCCTAAAAAAATGGAACAAAAATTGGAACCATTTGAAACCAAAACTGTAAAATACCAGTTCGGCTTGCTGGCAAATCACGATTCTCTTTTGGTAATTATTTTCACAATCATGAGAATAAATTGATAATTATTTTTATTATTTTCTAATATATATTTGTGAAATATATGTATTTGTTTTTCTTTATTTAGGAACCGAAATTTTGAGGCCTAATTTTAAGTTGTACACGCTCATGTGGCCCTCTTGGTACAAGGAGTATAAATGGGTGGGTATGTAGCATCCCAATAGTTTAAGTTGTTGGGTAAATGAGTAAAAGTCCATCCGTTACAGTTGGTATTAGAGTTAGACTCGGTCTTTGATCTGGTGCCACGCCTAGCACCAGGCTCGGAAGGTGTTCGGGTGGACCACCCAGGGTAGGTAGGGTGGCCCGGTCGCAACAAAGGTGTTGCGAATTCAAGTGAAGAAGAATGTTATAAGGGGTATTTGTCTCGCATCGAATCTTGATAGAAAGTGAAAGATGTATGTATGAATGGGTAGGCATCACTACCTAACAGTATAAAGTTTTAGATAAATAGGTAAACTCTCATCCTTTCATTTGGTATGCATCTATTAATCATTTATTTCTATTATTATTATTATTATATGTTATAAATTAATTCAATCAATCTATGGTTGTAAACAATACTGGAGTTGCTATGGGTAAATTACAGATGCCGTTTTTACTTTGACATTTCCTTTTGAATGTGAAAACATCAATAATGTCTTTATATATATATATTATAAAAAAAACATATTTTTTTGTCCGGCATACCGCTTTATTAAAGTAAAATAAAAAATAAACGGAAGGGGTGTTGAAACCTATGTGTAATTTGACAAAATTTCGGAGAGGCCAATGTAATTTATTCATAAATATTCTGACAACAGTTTTTTATTTTAGAGTTGCTATAGTCTGCATGGTTAAATTTTAGGTAAATTAAATTACACCTTCATTAGGCTTGGATAAATTACAAATTGATAGCCGTTATTATTTTGACATTTCCTTTTAGTGAAAAAATCAATAATGTCTTTATATATATATATATATATATATATATATATAAAATAGAAAATTAATTTTTTTTTGTCCAACATTATTTAAAAACATTCCATTGAAAATATGGGTAATATGACTGGTTTATTAAAAAAAATAAACGGAAGGAGTGTCTCTTGATAACATTATTCTTAACACGCTTCTAATAACTAGTTGCAAACCGCATCAGCTCCCACATCAATCAAATGTTTCAATGCCAACCAAGATTGCGTTGCTTTAAACAAAAAAACAAATCCATTTACCACCTTTTTGTATGCCTATAAAATTTAAATTGTACTTACTATATATACGCAAAAAATGAAAACAGACATAAAATCTACAAAACATTTCAATTAAATTACCGGCACGAGCAATACACAATCCAGTTGGTACAAGCGCTTTTTTCCTCTTGTCAAAACGTAGTCTCAGTTGCATTTCATGTTGAGAAAAAATAATAGTACAAGTTACTATATATGTATGTACACACAGGGTCAAACGTAGTCTCAGTTGCTTTTTCCTTGAGCTTTTTCATCCGGTTTAGGATTTTGTTTTGGGTTAGAATTGTTTTATTTCGTTGCTTTGGAGATCATGGGTCATATTCTCACGGAAACATTGAAGCCCTGGGATTGTAAATTGGGCCTTGTTTAGGCTCTGAAACTACTTCATACTGGAACCAACCCAAACGGGCCCTAAAACAGAGTTGAAACTACTTCATACTTCAGTCATACAACGTTTTAAACGGAAGCGTGAAAGTTACCAAATGTAATTCATACAATGTGAGAGTGAGAGCTGGAGTACCAGGACCGAGAGCAGAGTGAGAATTGGAGTACCAGGAACAAGGGTAGAACAAGTGTTAGAGCGAGAGTATGAAAATGATAAAATTAAGTCATACAGAGTGAAAGTTGAAGTACAAGCAGAGCGCAAGAGACACCCATTAAAAAGAATTGCGTGAACTTTCTCCCATTAGTACTTTGCGTACTATTTCAAATTCCGCGCACAAATAGAATCAGGAGATTCTTTTTTTAACACGATTAACCAAAAAAAAAAAAAATTACACGATTTGTACTACATTGGTTGAATTTGAATCTACGTCCCAATTTTGTTTAATCTTTTTTCAAAAAAAAAGTAAGATTAGGTATTTCATGTTACAGAAATCCAATGTGGATCCATCCAAACTTATAACACCTCATTTCTCTCTCTTAAAAAAAAAAAAAAAAAAAAAAAAAAAAAAAACAAAACAAAACAAAAAAACTAACTAAACTTATAACACCCTATATATTTTTGCCAGATGACAAGCACTTTGTGAATCGGGATATCACCAACTTAAATCTCAATATTAAAATGATATCGCCAAAAGGAAAAAATAAATAAATAACCTAATTACGTAATTTGTAGTATTACCAATCAATTAAAATTATCAAATTTTCTTGATAATTGAAAATAACAATTCCTTGAATGGGGATACCATATTTTAGTACTCGGGGCCCTCAATCCTTGTTCAATAAATCGCAGTTGTACTAAATACACACATATATATACACATATATTATTGGTGTGTGTGTGTGTGTGTGTAGTATATACATATTATCGAGTTTCAAATCATAATTAAATTTGACTTGTTTATTTTAAGAGTCTATTTGAGTTGAACTTAAATAACTTTGATTCATTTTTTTAGTTAGGAAGCACAGTCACTTTTACAAAGCATTCTCAAATAATGGAAAAATAACATGTATATTACTTTTCTTTTTCTTTTTTCTTTTTTCTTTTTTTGTTTTCTAAAAGCCAATCAACTCAAGTTCAAACTTAACTCAATAGAATTAACATGCCTATCTTGTTTATTTCCCGAGCCAATCTTGATTTAGCATTTAGCTAAGTTAATCAAAATCCCGATTCAAGTAACTTTGGGTTCATTTTCATTTCAGATCTAATATCCGAGGCAGAGAATTGTATCCCTTTCAAGAGATTCTCATAAAGACTGAACACAGTTCATAGTACTACAGAATATAGTATAATATGCATATATGTTGTTGTTGGGAAAGTGCATGTGAATCATCATAATGAAGAAGCCGCCAAGAGCCATTGAAGCAACCATGAAGCTTCTTCTTAGCTTTGCAACAAAACGGTCTGTCTAACTACTAACTACTACTACCAAATTATAAGCTGACTGGGAGTACCTAGGCCTCACTTACATTATACCCTTTTTTAGGATTCCACCTCATCAAATGTTGGTGCACTACTCTTCCTAACTTGTATGCATCCGAAATTTCCTGGAAATCCCATTTTGTTGTTTGTTTTATCTTTTGATTCTGATTTACATAAGTTACCATAAAAACACAAGTAAAAACAGTATGAATAACACCACCCTATAATAACATGTGTAGTATGTATATACATCTTATGTGAGGTTAGTTTTATCTCACATCTAATATATTCCAATATTGCTTGGTTGGTAGAATGATAAAAACTCACCAGTAATAAAGTAAATTTCAATATAAGATAAATTACTTTGTGTAAAAGTAATGTAAAGTTTTTAAAAATCAATTTCTTCCTATCTCACTTGAGCTTGAGTCCTCGAAACAGAGATTATACCACCTAGGCCAAGAGCCTAAATCATAGGCGCAATGTTCACCTAAATATTGGAAATATCCTCATGTTGAAGCTAAAATTTTTGTTATTACTATTAATTGAGCAATAATTTGAAATTTTAAAATATATATATATATATATATATATATATATATATTATAACCTCCATGGTTTGAAAAACAAGGTCTAAAAATGGTGTACTCATTTCATCAAATTATCATCATTCAAAATGTCCATTTCTCACAACTAGTGAAACTAGTTTATTCCAATCATCTATTGAAACAATATACTCTTTAGCTTAAACGAAAAGGTACTAAATTAATCTTATTTATGTCAAGACACTATCAACTGAAGTGAAGCTTCCATTGTTGCCAAAACTGTAAAGTATTATTGGTAACGAAATCATAATCTTGAGAAAATAAAGATCAAACTAATCCAAGGTGTCACATTACCATCAATCACTGTCGTGACCTATAATACTAGAACAAATCCTCAAAAATAAGCAACCTCGCACTTCCTATAGTAGTAGATTTCTTTTCACACATTGCGCGCACACACATTGGAAAACTTGCAATCTGATCATCACTCTAATTATTCCACTCAGTAGGTATTTCACTTCAATCTATAGTTATATATATTCCAATCAGCTAGTATCTCCTCCTATTACATTGATTCTGATCTTTCAACTAACCTCCTCTTTTTGGTGTAAAAAATGTCATTTTCAAAGCCTAAAAATCTATATATAATTATAATTCAAAGAGGTGGGCCCCAAGTGTCGCGAACAAGAAGAGAGAATGTGTAGCAGAATCAAAATCCTTGGGCAGTAGTTATAAGTTAAACTAAACAGCTTCCACGAAATTTCCAAGAGGTTAGGGAGCAGACAAACTCTTGTATCTGCTTCACGCTCCTCCTGCAATTTCAATTTTAACGTTGGGTGTTGAAAGATGAATCATATGATTCATCATATCCATATTTGTACAGTAATACAGAGTTTGTACACATCAATAAAGACATTGCAACAAACTTAGATCATGACAAAGTTGTACAGATTTTAAAATGCAAAATTTCAATCTTATTTATTTACAGTATTTTCAAGTTTCTCAGTCTTTATCTCTATTTTTTTTTTTTTTTTTTTTTTTTATCAACATGAAAACTTTATTATAAATTCAAGTTTGGACCATTACATATAAATGGATCCGAGGTCATATAAAGGACTGTCTTTTTCTTTATTAAAAAAGGGCTGTCTTTCCATATCAATCTATCTTACTTAATATCCATATATATATATATATATATATATATGCAAGCAAATATATCACGTTTGAAAAATAGTGTATAATAATGACTAACACAAGAAAGAAGAAAAAGAAAAAAAAACTTTTGTACTTGCATTCCAAAAGATTAAGCATGCAAAGGACAGGTTCGGGTAAAAAATTACATTGAGAATTTGAGGTAGGGTCTAAAACCATTCAACTTGGAAGCAGCACTAACTGTTTATTACATTGAAAAAATACTTTAAAAACATAAATTACCATCTATATATTTAAAAAAAATATATATTGCCAAAAGTATTTCAACATGCTAAAACACATATTTGGGTCAAGTTTGGATTTAGTGATCCACACCCATACCAGTTCTAACGGGTCCAGTTCCGTGGGTCAGGATCGGACTTCACCAACTTTAGCTTATAACTTATTTTAATAAATATAATAAATAAAAGTACATGGTTGTTTGTCGTATCACTGAAGTTGTGCAAAATATAGGAAATATTTTATAAATGTAGACAGCAAGCAACGCGAGTGCCACCACTCATTTAACCATCTTTTCTTCCACCTGCATGCTTGTGGAAGGATATATAAAAAGAAGAACAGACATACACAGCATAAGAGATACACACACAGTAAGAGCTCTAATCTGTGTGAGCTCTAATCTGGGTGAAAAAAACCTATATAGCTCTCCTCCTTAGAATATCTTATGATCAACATGGCTTTATTGGAGATGAACCCGAGGGCCAAAGCAGTTGCAGCAACAGCAGCATGGGTGGTCTGCTGGAGCATCTTCACGGCAAGTGACTTGGGCAATGCTGAGAGACTCTTGAGAGCCACCGAGCCAGGATACGTGGTTGAGAAAGAAATGAGACATGGATTTTTTGTCAGGGTCATTCATTTCTTCTGGCAGAGTGGGAAATCTTCTTATGAACATGTGTGGCCGGTGAGTCTTTCTCTTCCTTATACTTCTCTACCGTTAACGGCATTTTGATGTCCTAGATGTACTGTTTATATTACTCTAAGCATCTCTAACTTTCCCTACCAAGTACCTTTCCTTCGTGTTTCTAATATTAACGGTAAAACTTCTATATTTGGTTAATTCAGGAGATGCAGTTTGGCTGGAGACTGGTTGTGGGATCGATAATTGGATTCTTTGGTGCAGCTTTGGGGAGTGTTGGAGGCGTAGGAGGCGGTGGAATTTTTGTTCCAATGCTTACTTTGATCATTGGTTTCGACCCCAAGTCTTCTACAGCCATTTCTAAATGTATGCTACTCCTACGAACCTATAACCATTTTGTTAATTTGCACAACTATTCTATGACATATATATAAAACGTTCATGCACCATGTAGGCTTTCATGCATGCAGGTATGAGTAAGAAGTACTGGAAATATTAATATGCATGCATGTATGCATGACAGCATCACCACATATAATAAATGTAAATACAAGTGTAAAATTCAGCTAGCATGACCTAAAGCATGCAATAAAATACTCGATCCTATACCAACATTTTTTTTTTTTTCTTCTATGAAGTTGTCTCACCATTCAGACACTTGATTCTTATATTTTTTTCTAACAGTAATGATTTTGGGATCACAGGTATGATCATGGGTGCAGCAGGATCAACGGTATACTTCAATTTGAGACTAAGACATCCAACATTAGACATGCCTCTAATAGATTATGACCTGGCATTGCTCTTTCAACCCATGCTCATGTTGGGCATCAGCATCGGAGTTGCCTTCAATGTAATCTTTGCTGATTGGATGGTCACTGTTCTGCTTATCATCCTCTTCATAGGTACGCGCAAAAAAAAAAAATTACATAAATTTTCATCAATTTGTTTACGTGATACATCAAAAAGTTAATAACCTGTACCATAGAGGAACATTATTACATTTTTGTACTGTCTTTTTTTAACAAATTAAATTCAAAGGAGGTCATTTAAATTTGGGTTTCAGGAATACTATCGGTTCAATTTTGAATTGTCACCTGAGTGATCATGGTAAAAGTTATGGCTCTATATAGGTAACCTAGTGTGTTCAAATTATGTCAAATCCAAAATAGAAGCATATCATTACACCCCACTAAAAGGGTCCATCGTTTCTCTGTTATCAATATTGAAGCTCACTTTTTTCTTTTTCTTTTTTCCTTTCTTTTCATTTCCTTCTCTTTCCCATATACGTATGACCAGCCTATATAGAACACCATAAAGATGCAGACTTTCTTGTTAAAGTATGTAGTAAAACAAATTCAAATATTTCATTAGATTTTCTTCTTCTCAGAGAAGCTAACAAGGTGAAATATAATTGTGATAGGTACATCAACTAAAGCATTATTCAAAGGCATAGAAACATGGAAAAAAGAGACATTGATGAAGAAGGTAGGTTTCACTTACTATTTATACAGGTCTCAACGGATTTATTTTTCCTTTGCCGCTGACTTGTTAATGAGGAGTTTGAGATTTGTGTCGTTTTCAGGAAGCAGCCAGGCTGGAATCAGAATCCAAACCAGTTGGTGAGTTTTTTATTGTCCCAGCAAAACTCACTTATATGTACTTCAATTAACTACATAGATAGTTCACGGTGAGAAGTGGACTGGCAGGAAATAATGGACAATAATAGACTTGCATATTTCAAAAGATACGAAATTATATTTCTTGCGTATAGGACTATGGTAGAGTAGAAAAATCAATCACCTTATACTCTGGCCTCTTGTATGAGAGCATTAAGAAAGTAAAAGGCCTCTCAATTGATTGAATTATCACCCAAGTCCAGTCTGTTCCAGAAATCCATTAACGATTGGAGTCCACTAGAAAGTAACAAGTTGAATTCAGATACAAGTCAATCCTTCCGTTAGAACTTAAAAACAGTCCAAATGTTAAATAATATCACATATAACATGATAGAACTTAAAAACAGTCCAAATGTTAAATAATATCATATATAACGTATTCTATATTAGTAATTCAAATTCAATAGTTCTAGACCAAATTATCAAATCAGATGTTCAATTTGAAAACAAAAAATAAAATATCCAAAATCCAAGCTCCACTTTTAAAGATTCACCCAATTATCAAGTTGATTGATGCTGATCATGTCTTACTACATCATTTCTCAACTCATCCCAAACCAGCCATTTTCAAGCTTGTGTCATAGAGATTGACCTCAAATTTATGATATTATGGAAGTTTATATACTATTGTCACAAAGATGGACAATGATGCTTCCCAGCATTTTCCAGAAGAACAGTGAGAGCCAAAACCAGATGCACTGGATTGAAACTAATCCCCTTCAACCTAATTTTGTTCGATTCTTAGTGTAGTGTGCCACTTGTCTACTACATGGCAGGAGGAACTTCATTATTTCACTGAAATACCACTTGCCTTCAAGAAAAAAAAATGAACTATGTACCTTATATTACATAGTATGTTCCCCGTACCCCAGATTGAGAACCTAACAAATCGTTATCTGGGAACTAGAAATTACAGAGGATGGAACCCACTCAAATCATCAGGCAGCAGAGTGTCACAATAAGTTGTCTGAGAAACAGCATTTCATAATTATACTTCTTTCAAACCTAAGTAATTAAACCAATTTTGAGTTCTCCGGTTCTCAAATTACAATTCTTCCACTCACCAACCACAGAGGGTAATATCATTACATGAAGGAGGACGCATCATTTTACAAAAATGCCCAGTGCTTCTGATGGCCATGTAAACAGAATTCTTCGAGACTGTGATTAGAAAAATTCAAAGTATTCCACAATCAACATTTGACAATTAAATAGATCAAATACTAACCTCTGGAATTGCAGAGGGTTCTGGAGAGGAATACAAACGACTACCAAGTGGTCCGGCTGCTTTGGTAGATGAAGATGTAAGCCCATGAATTTCTCAATTTCTTCATAAAAATTCTCTTTACAACTTTCTTAAAATTAGTTTCTCCTTGTTTGAGACATCATAATCTCCATTCAGGTTCCCTTGATGTATAACATATACTGGAAAGAGTTAACACTGCTGGTGTTTGTGTGGATAGCTTTCCTTGCTGTTCAGATCATTAAGGTAAGTTGTTATTCTCCATTTGTACTATGGAAGAAGGTAATTTAGTTTTTTTTTTACCAGCCTTTTTTGAGTTTCCATCTGCTCTGTTCCATACTCCCAACCACTGAGGTGAACAATTTTTAATTTGCTGCAATGTATTCTAGTTTTACGGGACCTTTACTCCATAGCATTGAGAAGTTAAGCAAGTTCACCTGTCTTTCTATCCAATATGCCAAGTTGCTACTATACATAAGTTGCTTGATGTTTTAACTGAACATAATATTTACATGAATCTATATGCAGACATATACTGTAACCTGCTCCATTGCATTCTGGATCCTGAACTCCTTGCAGGTAATATATCCAACCTGAAACAGTTACATTTCTTTTGTAAAATTACCAACAGCATACATGCATACATCTGCATGCACACATATCCATGACCATGCACACGTGCACAGAACTTGAAGTCACTATATGAGCTTGAATGAATAACATTCTAAAGAAGAAATTACCTGTGATGAACATAATATGAGAATGCTAATATGACAATAATAGTGAAATAGAGGATGCACTTAAAAAGATGATTATAAAGCGGTTTGACCTGTAGGAATTGGAGAACTTTAAGAACTGTAGGATTTGAATGACTAAGAGAATCAATAAAAATTATAAAACAAGGAATGATGCCTAATGAATGGAGAAAAAGTATCTCGTCCCAATATATAATAATAAAGGGGATATATAAAATTGTGGTAAATGTCGAGGAATTAAATTAATGACTCGCACAATATAATTGTGGAAAGGGTATATTAACGAATGAAACCACAGTGTTCGAAACTCAATATGGTTTTATGCCAGTGAGATCTACTATGGAGGCCATTTATTTAATTAGGCAATTGATAAAAGAGTGTAGAACTAAACAAACAGTTCTCCACGTGGTTTTCATAGACTTAGAGAAGTCATTGGATAGAATTCCAAGGGAAATAATTTGATGACCTTTACATATAAAAGAGTTCCTTAAAACCTTCTAGACTACACCAAGGATCAACACTTTGCCTACACCTATTTACACTAGTCTTAGATGAAATAACGAAGATATACAAGAAGACATTCCATAGTGCATGCTGTTTCCGATGGCATAGTTTTGTTGGATACTTACAAATAAAGGCTCGGAAAGTAATAAATTCGCGGAACTACTGCCAAGTAGTGAAACAAAATTAAAAAGGCCCAATTATAAATTCATGCATGAGGTAGTCAATAATCCATACAAATTTATTAGTATTAAATTAATCAAGCATTAAAAATAGTAATTAGGCATGACAATTTCAACCAAAACAATCAATTCATTATCACCTCAATATACATGCATAAAACATCTCAATTTTACCATAATAGTTATAAATATATCTCAATTACTCTTAATTATCTCAAGCGTTGACAATATTTAAGAAAATAAGCATGCTTGGAAAACACTAAACAGAGGGCACTTACTGTAGGCACCCAATTTCCCACCTTAGGCATTTTAGGAGCGCTCACCTAAGGAATTCCATAAGACTGAGATGATAAACATTCTGTGATAATCTGTCAGTTTCAAGGTCATCCTGGTTCTACTTAAAACCAGCAGACCATTACCTAATTGCAGACTGAGCAAGCTTTACAAATCAAACATCAAATTATCTGAAGGACTAAACCTTTTCAACAAAATATTCCTATGTTGTTCAGGTGCCTATTGCCGGATCTGTTACACTTTATGAAGCCATATGCTTATACAAAGGCACTAGGGTGATTGCGTCCAAGGGAAAGGAAATCACAAATTGGAAGGCACATATGCTTTTTCTTTACTGTTGCTGTGGAATAGTAGCTGGTATGGTAGGTGGATTGCTTGGTCTAGGCGGAGGCTTCATCTTAGGACCCCTTTTCCTTGAACTCGGAATTCCTCCTCAGGTAATTTGAACTGCTCATTATGCATTTGCTACTCTAAAGGATATTCACAAAGCACATGGAGGTTAAGGAAAAACAATAATTATAGGAAGACCCAAATAAAGGATACTACAGTTTCCAATTGGATATCCCAACTGCAACTAAAATTGAGCCCAAACTGAATTCAATTGCCAAATCAAGTAATTGAAAAATGGCCACCCTTGGTAACAGTAATACTAGAGCACTGTATTTGCAGTCCTGAACAATAAGTTCCTGTAATATGTGGTTCAAAGTAAGTATTAGTTTGATGAAGTTGTTCTCATTTGCAGGTAGCAAGCGCAACATCAACTTTTGCAATGGTATTTTCATCGTCCATGTCAGTTGTACAATATTACCTTCTGAATCGTTTCCCAGTCCCATATGGTAAGTAGCAATAAAACATAACAGTATATTATTATACTGAAACGAATTCTGGATGCCAGGAGAGGTTACTTTTTAAATTGTAGAACCAAATACTAATTTTGCTTATGACCTAAATTGATATTAAAATTGAATCTAATAACTATCTCATTTAACCTCACAACATCTATGTTACTATATGTTGCAGCTGCTTATTTTGCTTTAGTTGCTACTGTTGCTGCCCTTGCTGGCCAGCACGTGGTGAGAAGGGTCATAGCGCTACTTGGCAGGGCATCCATAATTATCTTCATACTGGCTTTGACAATCTTTGTGAGCGCAATCAGTTTAGGTATATATCGCTTTCTTATTTTATGTTAATTAAATGGAAGTTTATATTAGCAAAATGTTAAAATTCCCTTCTTCTTTTTTTATTTGCCTTTGGCAGGCAATAAATACATTAACTCTTTTTGCTGCAAAATGCAGGTGGGGTTGGTATAGCAAATATGGTAGAGAAGCTGGAGAATCAAGAGTACATGGGGTTTGAAAATTTTTGTTACCAGACTTAGATATGCTTATCCTGCCACTGTGGAATTTCTCAAATAACTATATCCACACTATGTTTATCTTTACATAGTCAACTATTTATCCATTTATTGTCAAACAAATATCATTACTTCTTTATGTTTATTGATGTCCTATTCAATGTAACAGTTTGTCCTCAACATCCACAGCAGAACTCCATCACGTTTTCTGCCTCTGTTAGTAATTATTCTTATGTAAAAAACTTGGCAAAGACCTTTGTTTGAATGGTTATGTAAGAAAATCATTCTGTATAATATTAGTAAACCGATGCCAAGGCTTTACATTTCTTTTATGTTCCTTGTAGAATATTTACCATCTCATCCTCCAAAAAAATGGTTCAATAGTTTAGAAAAGCAGAGGTATATATTCATATAACATATTAGGGAACGGTTTATTAAATAAAGCTACTGTGAGTATTCTAAAACACTTACATTACCGGGGAAATTAAACTTCCAGCCCCTAAGCTCCAAAGTATTGTTGAATTATGGAACATAGTATCACACTAGATAATCTTGGATTAACCTAAAACCGATTTCCGAGTAGATTTCACCCATAATAGTTATAGTCAACCTCCAAGGGCCACGAGGCAAGCCTGGAGTAGATAAAATACTGTATTGTGAAGAAATTTTTTACCAGAAAATCAATCCCATTATTTTATCAGTGCATTCTCAAGGGGTGTGAACTGCATTTACGTTGAATAAGGTAGCCATGCACCAAGACAGAATGAATTCTTCTCCTTTCATTGCTGAATTTGGCATGCTGCCAAACCACATAAACTATGCTTTGGTTGCACCCTTTTCAGCTTTATTTCCTTGCTTTTCAGCTTATAGTTAGAACCAGGAACTAACACGTAAATGGTAAGTTGAACCACGGTAAGGCTGTTTTTATGGATCAAGGAGAAAGAGAAAGTGCGTCATATTAGATGATGAATCTTAAGACAACCAATGAGCTATGTGGTGTGGAATACTTGAAGTCACAGTTTGGGTGGCCACAACAAAGGGCACAGGAAACACCAACATTCTGGCTCACCCTACTAGTAACTCAAGAAAAATCTAGAATGTCGTGGGCAAATTCCTTTGAGCATCCTTAACAAAAAAAATCCATCATGCCACCCAATATGTTTGAGAAATTGGGAAAACACCGCTAATGCTTTGGGCTCCTTCGCAGTGATCAACCAGACCCTTTTTTCTTGATAAGTACAACAAACACCCCCATGTTCCAATTAGAACTCAGACCCTACACCCTCAATGTGCAGTGGCTGGAGGTTCCTCTCAAGCTAGACAAGTGATTTTAACCTAACCCCGCTTATGTAATTAATGTTATATGAGTTATAAATTACAAAGTGCCAGTTGAACCTCCTCCTTGATGGCTTAATCCGCCCACACACACACACACACACATTCAAAATGGCACACACAAAAAGGCCTATTTTTATTTATTTTTAATAGCTTGCTTGTTTGTTTGATATTCCATTGGGAAACAGTATAAAGTAAACTCAACACACTATATCTAATTATAATAGGACTATCACCTATGGTTTGTGTTGTCTCAATTTTCATAATTAATGCGAGTATTCAACTAATTTGAAGAGTCCTACAATCCTTATTTAGGTCAAGTGTTTTGCATTATGGGGCCTCCTTAATGAAAATTTGTATTCCCTTCCTTCCCTAAATATTAAATTGTTTATTAACAACACATCTTGTATAATCACATCACATCAATATCTACTTGCAATTTTTGTTTATTAACAACAATTCAACAGACATAAAATTGCATTGTCAATATAAATCATATAAACAAACGCAAACTGATGTTCGAAATTTAACGTACATCGTTTTGTGTAATCTTCGCCGTTGATTCTTGAATTAAGGATTCAGAAGTTCCACATTAAGCTTCCAAAACCCCCCGTGAAATAGTGAAACTTCACTCTGGGACAGTAATGGTGTTAGGTTATGGATATGATTTTATGGCGAAGTCCCTCGATTTGGGTTTAAGATGAAAGAGTGATAACGACAGTTGGGGTTTTAGTTGGAAGAAGTTTCTTGTTATGCTCAGATGCGCCTGCAGGATGTGTACAGGAGCTTGTCAGTTTAAGCCGTTCGATGCCGAAAGAGGTGCACTTAAAGTGATTGATGAAATTAAATGCCGTTCAGTTGCCTAGAAATAACAGAAAATGAAAAAATAAATGAACAAAAATTTAATTTTTTAGGAGTTTGGTTGAGAATGAAAATAAAAAATTTCAATTGTAAGGAAGAAAATTTTTAGGACGGGCTCGGTTTGTCACTCACAAAATAATTATTTTGTATTTGAAGAATTCAAAATCTTAGGTTAATTTTTTAAAAATTACGCCATAGAAAGACCTAACAAGTCTCTCAAAACAATTTTATGTAACCTAAAGGACTAGTTCTAAAATAAAAAAAAAAAACCCAACTACTTTCAAAGTTGGATCATAAATTTTCAATCACATTGTTGCAATATTTGTGTCGACCCTTTAACGAGCTGTAAAATGTCAAATTTAATCTTGCTATTTAGTACTAAATTAAAAAATATAATTTTTATTTTTAAAATTACAAAAACACCCCTATCTTTGTCCTCCTCTTCTCCCCCTCCTTTTCACCTCTAAACCAAAACCAAAACCACAATCACCATCCAAACATCATTGGAGGAGAACGAGAGAGATAAGGAACAAATAGAGGGAGTGTCGGCGGCTATGTACTACAGTGAACCAAAAATATATATATATATATTGAGATTAGGGTAGAAAAGAAGGTTTAATGATGATGGTAGTTTTATCAATTAACAGAACTAATATTTTGTAAATTAAATAATTAGAGATAAATATGACATTTGAAATCACGTAAATGTCATTGTTAAAAAGAATATTGACCCGCGTATGGGTGATATTGATCAAAACGGAGTCAATATAATTTATCCAGAACTCTATTAGTGCTGAAATTTCACCAAGGACACAGTGTTACTCAACTTCTATTTTACAGTATTTTTAGTTGTAACATTAATATTACGAGTACTCCCTCTGTTCCAATATAGATGTAGTGCATGGGGAATCCAACTTTTTATGGTAATTGAGTTTTAATAGTTTTTTTATTATATTGATAAAAGCAAAGTTTCAAATATGCTGACAAAATAGTGCAATTGTTTAGTTAAGATGATAGTTTGAAAATGTTATAAAAAATAGTACATTTAATTTAAGAATGGGACATGTCATTTCGGGACATCAAAAACATGAAAAGATAAACAACTATTTTAGAATGGAGAGAGTATAATTTTTTGACATGTAATATTTTTACATTCTAAAATGAAAAGATAGACAACTATTTTAGAATGGAGAGTATATAATTTTTTGACACTCAATATCTATTAACTTGGGTAGAGTAAAAAATTTATCACCAAATTTCTCTCTTTAGCAACTCACTTTCTCTTGGATCAAGATCATCACACCAAATCACAGACGAATGGGACAATGAGAGCGTTATGGGTCAACTTTTTTTCCCAATAAAAAAGATCGTGGGAGCAACTGCATAATGCGCTTCCCCATTAGCTGAGAGTGGGTAAGGGGAGAATGAAATCAACTAGTAGCAGTAATTAATTTGAATGCCAATATCAGTCCAGTTTCCAATGAAATGGGCCTCATCCGCATTGTCTCATTTTGACATTTTAAAATATACTAAAATATAGTATGCATTGTTGTAAGTAGTGTTAGATTTTTATTTTTTTTTATTTTTATTTTTTATTTTTTATCAGAAGTAGTGTTAGATAGAAAACTAATTTTGCTGTGACATTTTGTTTGTATTAACATAGCAACCCCATCGTGATTTTTATTAGAGATGCACAAGATTGGATTCGATAAAATTTTAGACTAAATCAAAATCAAATTGATTTCAATTATTTATAAAAAATTGAAATCAAAATCAAAATCATCAAAGCTTGAAACTAAACGTTGAATATAAACCGCATAAAATTATTGTCATTATTATGAAAAAAAACTTGGCACTCCTTAACTCACGTGGACATGCATGTTTTTTTCCCTTTGGGTGGGGCATGGGGCATATGTATCTTTTCCTTTTTTCTTTTTCTTTTTTTTAGCTTAACTCTCCAAAAATAGATTTGGACAGAAGAGTAGGGGATTTTTTTACTTGCTCCGTTACAGTAAAAATTAACAACAAAAGTAAAAGATTAATTACTTCACAACTTAATTAATGAAATATAACAGTTTTTCATTACTTAGAATTAGTTGATTTTACAGTCTATCAATTAAAAATGTGAATAAGAAAGACATTACTTTATGCATCATTACAAGAACTACTGGTAGAAAAGAAGAACAGGCAGCAAAAAACAACAATTTATGAATATGGATACAAAAAATATATAAAAAAAATTAAAAATCACCTTAGGACCTGAATAGAACTACAATCAAAATAGGGAGATCCTCCAAAGGTTTAGTTTCTGCTCCGTACAGTACAATCGTAATGGACCTGAATTCAGGAGTATGGGGCAATGCATCTAAGGTCACCGTCTAGGATTTTCAATTTTGAAGGGCCTCAAATTTAAAATTACAGTGCAAATATAGTAGTATATGTTTAACATTTATGCCATAAATTTCGTAATTAAAAGACAATGCATACTTATATATCATATAAATTTATGGTAATAAATAAATTAAAAAAATATAAAAATTATGGCAATAAACACACGTATTTATGATATCAATTTATATATGGTATACAATAATTTGTATGGTAATAATAATTTGTTTCTATCCCCTCATTCAAAGGAAAAATAATAATTTTTTATATTTAAACTCAAAAACTGGATTATTTTATTATTATATTATTTTTTGGCTCATGTGCGTACATCGCAAGCTCTATTAAACCCAATTCAAACAACCAAAATTTTAACTCATGAGTGCAATCAAGTGTCAAAATTTTCAAAATATTCTTGTAAGATCTCCTAAATATGACATGATTTATGAGACAGAATTATAAGTCTAAAGAAAAACTTTACCAAGACGAAGAAAGAAAAAATGCAATTGAAGTATTTGATTTTACTAAAATGTTAAGTTGCGTATAAATTGTATAATTGACATTTCCAATTATAGTTGCATTTTCTAAGAGAAAAATTTAAAATTTGAAGTTGATCAAATCTTACCTATGACGATGTCATAAGATGATTGAATGGATTGACTATGATATCTCTTGATTTGAGCATTTTAATTGATAATTTTGTAGCTAAAAATGCAAGACAATCACATTTTATTTGATATGAAGTTGAATTTTGATTTTTGTAATTAAGTTGTCTTGAATATTTCTTTTAATTTTTTTTTATGTAAACTTGATCATGTATTTTATAAAGTACCAAGATTAGATTTTGTTTGGTGTGTTTCCAACATCATATGGAAATGCAACAAGAACTGAAATGTTAGTTCAGTTTAGTTAGTAGTTAGTACCAATTCTAATGTTTTTGTTTGTACACCTAATTCATATGACACAAATAGTGAGCGGGAGGAGGCGTGGATGCGAGCACTACAAACAAAACCTACATCAATATAACTTAAGAAGTAACAACAAATTTATGAAGGTGTCGTGTTCATGTTGAAATTACGTTGAAACACCGATACTTTCTGATTGTATTTATATTTTTAATATGCATGTATATATATATATTAAAATTTTGTTACTTAACCGAATAAGATAGAATGCTACACCAATTTAATAAAAAATTGGTTAGCATAGAAAGGTTATTCACAATTCAACATTCAAAATGAACGGTATAATGAAATAAAAATGAAATGATTTAAAAAAATTAAATATAATACGTTAAATGACTTATGATAGAAAATAATGAAGGAAAAAATCACCAAGAGAAGAATAATAATAATAAAAAAATCACCAAGAGAAGAATAATAATGACAGATTTTGTAATTTATAAGTTTAAGTTTTCAATATGGCTTATTTTACTTTATTGTAAAGCCCGGTGAACTATTTTTTATTTATTTTTCAATAATTATAGAGCTTCTGGCCGTTGCGATTTGTCAATACTTTCTTCTCTTAGTAAATTTGTTAATACTCAAAGTCTCAAACAAAGGTTTTAGTAGATAAAACAGGATCTTAAAGTGAATAATTTATAGATATAGTGAATGCAGGGGTTATGTGTGACTCGGAGATGAAGGACAACTGGCATTGCACCGCATCACACACATGGCAAAGCGAGGTTGGTCCGGCCGGGCCAATAAAATCGGGAGAAACGGGAATTTTTTTGAAAAAAGAACGTCGAAGGTGGCTGGTTCCATTGTAATAAGGTGCAGAGTCTAGGGCAAACTCATAATTTTGATTTCCCGCCCAAAGCCGCTCAGAGCCCAAGACGACCAATCAATAATAAATGTGTGGAAAGTGAGTCGCCTCTGGTCTGGACACCAAGAACCTCTCCTGTTGCAGTCGCTGCCCTGCAACTCTCTCTCATCGCCCATCTGAAAATTTTCGAGTAAGTTCGTTCCACCTTCAACATTCTTTTTTATTTGTGTGTATACATATTTCATTATGTGGCAAATATTTTGAAAAAAGTACCGAAAATCTGAAGTGACCGAAACCCTAGTTTTTTATTTTATTTTGGGTTGTATTTTCAAAATATTTTGTTTACTCTCTTTATTTTTGGGAATATTGCGTGTTCTTGTAATGTTTTGATTCGATTGTGTTGTAGATTGATTTTCCCCCCCTAAAATTTGTGATTCAGGAACTTGGGATACAAGCTTAGAAATGGTGGCGGACGAGGAAGTGAAGAACGAAGGCGCTGCTGATTCTCCAACTTCTGTCCTTGAAGACGAGGTTTGGTTTCATTTTGCCTTTAATGGCGTCTCAGTATCTATTCACATGTCCTCAAATATCGTATCCTGTTTATGAGCTCCCTCTATGTGTTTGTTTAGCCTTTTACATTTTGTATTTGTTAGTGACTTTTGCTTTCTTTCTGTCCTCGTTGGTCTCTCTGTCCATACATGATATGTGTGTGTGCCCTATCCAAAAAGGGAAAAAGATTTCTTTTATAACCTCGCGTGTGCTTTTAGCCCTATATGTGTGCATGTTCAATTTTCTTTTCTTTTATTTACTGCTATTCCTATTATTGACAGGAAAGCTATACGGGAAAAGTGTTTACAAATACCCAATTAAAGTCTACACATATTCAGTGACTACTGGTCTTTTGTATAATCACATTAAAAATATACATATATATATTTTTCTTGTGTTTTTATTTTTTATTTTTTTTATGTCAATTTTACTTAATGAGTTTGAGCATTTTCTGGGAAATGTGGTTTTAGGTCATGAATTGACATACGTTATTATTATTATTATTATTTTACAGTATTATGTATTGGATTTGGCTCTTTGTTTGTTCTCTGTGTTTCTTTCTTTCTTCCCCAATATCCTCCCCCTTTTAACCCCTCTGCGGATGGATTCTATTGGACTTGTCACCAATTTTATATATCTTTGAATTCATCAAATTTAGTGTTTATTTTCAAATTTAACATGAAGGGTGATTGCAAGGAGAAAATCGAAGTGAAGTTGGAGGAAGAAATACTTCTGGCTCCAAAAAATGGAGATTCTTCTCTTATATCAAGAGCCATGGCAGAGGAGGAAGGAAAGCTACTGGAAGCCAGGGTGAAGGAAGAGGAAGAAGAAAGAGTGAATGAGCACAAGGAGGCACCCTACTTGAATGACACCCAGTTCACTAAATTGGAGGAGCTTCTAACACAAACCCAGCTTTACTCAGAATTTCTGCTGGAAAAAATGGATGACATCACAATTGTACTCTCTGAAGCACTTTTTCTGATGAAATCCTAATATGTGCATTACTTTATTTTGTTGCTGATTGAGTTATTAAATTAATTGCATTGCTAGAATGGACTGGAAGAGGAGGGTGGAACTGTTAAAGAGAAAAAGAAAGGCCGAGGTTCAAAAAGAAAAGCTGCTACAGATTACAACAATGTATTCATTTTCCTTCTTTCTTTGTGTTTTATTCCAATTTTCTATGTTTTGCCTGGAACCTTCATCTTGGAGCACTCTGCTGTGTCAACAGGAAACTAGTATGGTTATTCACATCCCCTTGTATATCATCTTGTTTTACATGTAACTAGTATGTGCAAAATTTTTTTCCCCTGCAGGTTTCCTGTACATGCATTCATTGTTTTGTTGTATCTTTTATATTTCAAATTGGTAGTGCACTGCTCTCTAACTGTAAGTAAGAAAAAGAAAACAGAATTAATGCGATTAACAGATTATAAGATGATTAAATATATATTGTTCAGTTATATGTGAATCTCACTTGTTTCTTCAAATGAGTATCATAGACTAAGAAGCATGGACACGGATACGGGACACAGATACGACACGACCCGGACACGGCAAATCCAAAAAAATTAGGACAAGGACATGGCGGGGACACGGCGAATTATGTGTATATATATATGATGTAGTACTTTAAAAATTACTGAGTGTTAGCATTTTTCATCAACCTCACAATGAAAAAAAAAAACACAAATCATAACTCATAACTAATAAACTATAAAAGAACAATGTTGCATAGTTATAAAACCAAATAAAAAAAAGACATTAGAATAATAACTAGTATTATTTAATAATCATTGCAACTTTACTCCAAATACAAAAGCATAGACAGAAAGGACTATTAACATTCATGACTGTTTAACATTCAGGACTTTACTGTTAGCACTTAACATTCACAAAAACCTAAAGGCTAGTCCCCAAAAAAGATACAAAAACAAGTCAGTGTACTATCATCTATTCCCATCCGTCATTTGACCTAGGACTTTTACCGTTTACAATACCAAAAGGGTAGGTACAAAACAAAAAACAGAACATCATCTTTGAAAAAAAAAAAAAAATTCCAAACACGCGTGTCGGGCACACCCCCCGGCGTGTCGGACGCGTGTCCGCTGAGTGTCTGTGCTGTGTCCGAAAATATAAAAATAAAAAATCCCAGACACGTTTTTTGGTGTGTCCGACACGTGTTGGGGCGTGTCCGATACGTGTCGGACACGGATTCTTCGCCCATTTTGGCATGTCTGTGCTTTCTAGATCATAGATGAGGAGATGATTATAGGCTTTTCAAAGCTGCCTTGAGGGTGCTGTCCATCAATGTGTGCGGAACAGAAATGTGAGATAACGAGAGATTTTAGATTGAATGGTAAAAGGTCATTTTTCTTTTGATAAAGTGGTAGAATGTCATGCCTTTTTTACTTATTTTTTATCCAATGAGTAAAGTGTAGGTCATGTTATCCTAGTATTTTGGAACTTTTTTCATGGGAGGACAATTATTCTCTCAAGATTGTTCAAAGTTAAGCAGTCATGGTATTGCAAGGGTTCAAATATACTGAGTTTGGCTTAGCAACTTGTATTGAAAGTAATTCTGCAAATCTCAACATTATTTAGTGCTGCTGTTCTGCTTGTCTTATCATATCTTCTGCATTAATTTGATGAAAATGGCACATGTCCTTATATCGGTGAAGTGAGTGTTGAAAATAACACTGTCTTATGGTGGCAATCCTATTTTTATTTTTAAAATTTTTTTCATTCAATTTATTTTAATTTTTATTTGCTTTTTAAGGAGGGGGTTGACACTAACTTGCTAAAATGCCAGAACTTTATTATTGTCTATTTCTTTCTGTTCCAGTTTTCTTTTATGCTGATTTGATAGTTAATTGATATGCTGATTTGTTAGTTAATTGACTGAACTTAAATCATCTGTTCATATCATGGTTGTCAATATTATCCGATATCGAGATTAATCACATGAGAGGTTGATACCAATATGTTCTTCTGACTTCCCTCCGATTACATAGTTGATATGAATATGATAATCAACTGTATCATCACCTTATTAATAAGTATTGCACGACGAATCGTGACATGAACCTGATATTGATACAAGTCGAGCAAGTTGTCTCGGTATCTGTACAAATGTGAAACCATACACTTTGGATATGTTGATGGCAACACAATTAGTGTATTTTAGATTTGGATAACTTACCTTGACCTCTCCTGAGGTCAACAAGTTGCACCCTCAAATTATACTTCAATCAAAATTGTGGTCCTCCTATATTGAGGCTTGGTAAAAGATATAGTTAAGTCCAAGCTGTTAATTATGTTAGGGTTGTTAGAGATATTTCATTTAATTCTAAAATTACCCTCCTTTCTTGTAGCAGGATTATTGAGTTCCTTACTAAACCTGTTGAATGACCAATATAACCTTATAACATCAATATATATACTTATTAGAGATGCATTTACGTTAAACTAAACTTTATTTGATTCTATAGCCTTCTGCTCATACCGCCATAATTGCCGACTCCAACTCTCCACAGTTTTGATAACGCAAATCTCCCTCTCATTCTCATCTTACGTGTGACGTCTCACTGTTTAGCACGAATCGACACAAACACTCATCTCTAACATTGTGCATATCTAAAGGTTCCTTTTCTATGTTGTAAGAACAGAGCTACAAATTCTATTGCTGGCACTGATGCGAAGACAAAATCTTACCATATAAGTACATCCATGCTTGGAGAAAGGAGAAAGGTCTCTCTCAAAAATAAAGTCAATGACATAAATTGAAGAAGCCCAAGTTCCTAAAATTTAGTAACAGAATCAATTTGAACTTGAGCTCCGAAACAAAAATTGAGGAAGAGTGTATCAGGAGAGAAAGGGTGTCCTGCTTGTACTTCTGATTTGTTCCTTTCTTTTATCCTTTGCTTTCTCTCCTTACAAATTTTCTCTCTCTAGGCTCTCTCTCACTCTACACTTTGCAGAGAAGGGACTTTGAACAGAAGTGTGAAGACCGAGTAACTGTCCTGTTATTATGCTCCGTGTCCCAAAATTTTTGGGCTTTTTGGGGAAGCCAACTTTTTACGGTAGTGGATTTTTAATACTTTTTTTATTGTATTGATAAGAGTGAATTTCCAAATTTATCCTTGTTAAAAGACAAAGGAGTACTCCGTAATTAGTGCACTTTTTTTTAATCAAGTCAATGTCAAAAGGGTATTTTGGGAATGTTATAAAAAGTTGTACATCAGTTTTTGGAATGGGACATGCATTTCGGGACATCCCGAAATAGAAAGATGGTCAAGAATTTTGTTATGGAGGGAGTACTAAATTTGACGAACAGTCCTTATCGTACCTTTCTGTGTTGTGAAATGTTTTCCGTAACAGTTTGCTATAGTATCTTCCTTTGGGAAGGAAGTTGTTAGAGAGAGTTTTAGAGGGAGATTGATAGAGAGGGAAGATAGGAGGAATTTTTAGTAATGTGGGGTGGGCAAAGTGATGGTTTTTGGCGACGTGACAGGAGCAACAGTGGGTTAGGGTAGAGAGAGATAGAAGTGGGTAGGGTTTTGTTTGGCTGAAATTTCTTTGAAATGGCTTAGTAATATCACGGTGCTGATTTTGTCATTTCAATATTTTCCTATCTTGTTAGCCTCCATCTTTTTATGGTTGTTACGTTGAAGGTGATCTAGTAATTTTACATGATACGTTTGATTTCATTAGGTTTTCTAACTCTAACAGGGGTGTTAGAGTTATTTTGACCTAAGTATAATATGAGGGTGCGACTTCCGAAGCTCATGGGAGGGTGGGATGATTTACCCTATATATCACGTGGTATAATACTAAGAAAAGCTAGTCTCTAGTGCACAAGGTTCTTGCCTTTGCAGGGACCTTACTTTTGCATGCATAGAGGTTGTTTCCACTTCTGCACTGCTGATCTCCAGGTCACAATGTTGCCAAGCCCTGCGCCCTCTAATTTTATAGAATGTTGTATAAACTAATCCAATAATGCCTTTATTGATGTTTTAGACAAAGGTTTGTGATTTGTATATATTTCTATATATATTAAATTTTTCGTAGTTTTAGTTTTTTTTTTTTTTAAAAATCATTGGATGGCGATCCAATATGCCACAACCAAGTAGTAACATTTCTGGCATCCATGTTAGCATCCAATAGTATGACAAATCATGTAGCAGGGTTAAACCCAAGGCAGTGCGAATCTAAGTACTGGATGATCGTATTGTTCATTGTTGGTTTTAGATGACAACCTTTTTCTCGAATTTATTTGTGAGTGACCAACTCCTTGCATGCATCAGTACATTTCCTGACCTGTCAAATACTAATAGCATTAATTATCTTTTATGATAATGTGTTGGTTTTTTGAGGCTCACATTTCAACAAATGTCTATGGCTGATCTCTTCAGTTTCTATCCTTGATTGTTTTTTAACACTCATCGTTTTTTCTTTTCATGCATTTTTAAAACTTCTTTCTTGACCTGCATTGTCTGTAACAAAACCATGACATTTTATCAGAGGAAGGCCAAGAGAGCTGTTGCAGCCATGCTTACGAGATCTCGAGAAGGTACTGCTCTGGATGATATGAACCTCACTGAGGAGGAGAAAGCTGAAAAAGAGCAGGCTGAAATTGTGCCTTTGTTGACTGGCGGAAAGTTGAAACCTTATCAAATCAAAGGCGTGAAGTGGTTGATCTCGTTGTGGCAAAATGGCCTGAATGGTATCCTAGCAGATCAAATGGGGCTTGGCAAGACAATTCAAACTATTGGCTTCCTTGCACACTTAAAAGGGAAAGGCTTGGATGGGCCCTATTTAGTTATTGCTCCTCTTTCTACCCTCTCGAATTGGGTAAACGAGGTATCAAGGTAATTTTGTATCTTGATTCTTTATTGAATAAGGGGGACCCCAAATAGTTGGATTTGAAGCTCGATTGAGTGTGACTCAGCTCAGTTTCTATGATGATTTGGTTTAAATTACTCCCTCTTTTATTTTTTATTTATTTTTATTTATACTTTTTGACTAACATACATAGTTATTATATTCTGTCTTTTTTCCTTTTCAAAGGTTTGTTCCCTCAGTGAATGCAATTATCTACCATGGAAATAGAAAAGAAAGAGATCAGATAAGGAGGAAGCACATGCCTAGAACAATTGGCTCAAAATTTCCCATTATAATTACTTCTTATGAGGTTGCAATGAATGATGCAAGAAAGCACCTGAGGCATTACAATTGGAAATATCTTGTTGTTGATGAGGTAAATTGTAAAATTACCTAGCCCATGAATTTGTCTTCCTTATTCTTTTATAAACACATGTGAATTTCGAATCCTCAGGCTGAGCAGTTTTGTTTCTGGTATCTAAGCTATATTTTCTCTTTGTAGGGCCACAGGTTAAAAAACTCAGAATGCAAATTACTGCGTGAGCTGAAGTTCTTACCTGTTGAAAATAAGCTTTTATTAACTGGGACACCTCTCCAGAACAACTTGGCTGAGCTTTGGTCATTGTTGAACTTCATTTTGCCTGATATATTCTCATCCCATGAAGAATTTGAATCATGGTATCATTGCTTTACTTTTCTTTACCAAATGTGATTTTTGCATGAACTTGACCTAACTCGTTACGTATGCTAACTTGAATATTTTCTTCTTGTATTAACCAACTCTGAAAAATAGTTGTAATTCCTATACTCCCTTGGTATTATTGTGTGTGGTCTTTGTGTGTATATTTCTCATATGGGTACAGTTTTTTTTTAATTTAAGACCATTTGAGTCCATACTTTTTACTTGCATTATGTGGGGATTATTTGATCATATTAGAGACCTATATACCAAAACAGATTGTTTCTAGGAACCAGACTGTGTGCACCCCTACCGAACAGTTGAGACATGGAACTGAACTGAACCACGGTAAAGACAAGTTTTATATTATTATTTATTAATATTATAATATATATATATATATATATATATATATAGTTTAAGGTTTGGTTCAATCTTAATGGACCTGGAACCGGAACCATTTTTTTAATGGCTAATAATTTTGGAAGCAGAATCAAACCGAAGTGACAGTTCGGTTTGTACTGGTTACTGGTTCCAACAATATTTTGAGCACCCCTACTGTTTAGAATGAACGCCGCATTGACACATTAACTTGCTCTAGGACAAATTATCTAGTTATACAAGTCACAGTATGGAAGTGTGACGTCATTTCACATTTTGTTTTCTGGACATCTTGTGGGTTTTAATTTTTTCCTTTTGTCATGCTTGTAATATCAATGACTAAATTGCAATGTAGCCCTTACGCCTAAGGTTTTATGTAATGGTAACATTTTGTAATAGTAATGACTGTGATGTAACAGGACATAACTGGGTATGTATAGGGATGGCAATGAGGCGGATATGGAGCGGGTTTGCCTAAATCCGTACCAGCCCTGTTTAATTATGGACAAATCCATACATGCCCCATACCCGTGACGGGTTTAAATTTCACAATCCATACCCGCCCTGTTAGGAGATGCGTGTTCCCGTGTCTGCCCCGGTTTTTTGTTTGGTTATCTATATAGATAAATTGATAAAATCTGTAAAATTCTATACAATGTAAATACATAGTAAATGATGATATATATATATATATATGAACACAATAATGTGCATACATCTATAACACATATATACATCTATATATATAATTTTTTTAAAAAAAGAAAGTATAAAGGGCGGGGCGGATGTTTCTCAAACCCCATACCCGTGACAGGTTTAAAATCTAAATCCGTACCTGCCCCTATGGCACATAAACGGTTCCCATACCCATGCCATTAGGGGCAGGACAGGGCAGTACAAATTGCCATCCCTAGGTGTGTAATGTAATTGGTTGCCGAAGCTATGAATTGCTTTCAACCTCCCCAACTGTACTACAATGTACCAATATGCTTGTTTTAATCGCAGATTTCCATATATTTGTTTTTTTAATGGATGCGATCGAGTTTCTAAAGATTATTTAATATGGTTAATGAATTTTATTTTGATTTTTAAGTCGTCACAAAAGTTACTAATTTTACCTTTCACTAATTTTATGACAATTGAAGCGCTTGAACATGGAAATATATACATAATCAAAAGTGGTGAAATCGAGGTTATCAGTGTGAAATAAAATTACCACCAATGAAAAAGCTTTCAGAATTGTTGTTCAGAAGTAGAAGACCCATTAAGACCTACTACTGATTTCTCTAGATTTAACATCAGATAATAAATTTATGTTTTATCTTATCTAAATCAAGTGAAAAATAGAAAGAAATTTAAAATAATTCTAAAGCTTAGTAATTGAATGAACTCTTGGGTGCTTTTTGTCCGACATGTAAGTTTAAGTTCTTATTTAGAGGTGTTGGAGGCTAGGTCTAAGGATTTAGGGGTGTTAGGTAGAAGAAGTCTGATATATATATGTACATACGCCCACATATTCTTAATACATATATTCTTGTTTGTGTATTTGGGGTGGGGTGGAGGAATGAAGAAACAATGAAAACCTTGGCCTTTTATAATTCACTTCCCTAGGCTTTTTATAATTCGAGATCAGGTCAGAACCATTATAGTGGGGAGTAATAATAATAATACTTACTGTTACTGTTGCGTAATGGCTGCAGGACTGCTATACCATGTAATGACCACTATTTAAAACTATGTTTACATTTCTGTTATTTGAGTAAGGAGCTTACTATTGTAGGGTCCTGCAATGAATTGATGATATGTATTTGAGGTGGGGTCGGGAATGAAGAAAGAATGGTAACTGTGGCCTTTATAATTCACTTCCCTAGTCTTTATGCCTGGAAATCAGGTCTGGCTGATTATAATGGGGTGTAATACGCATGATGCCAACTGTTATTGTTACGGAACGACTGATGGACACCTAGTAATGATCATTATTTAATCTATGTTACATTTCTGTTGTATGAGTAAAGAGCTTGTAATTGTTGAGTCCTGTCATAATAATGATGGGGGCATTGACAATCAATTGTAGCATACGACATACAATATAATTTTGTAGGCAAAGGAGAAGCTTTTCCTCATTTAGTATGAAATGTTTAATTTCCATTTTGTTGTAACTGGCAAACAAGCTTCTCTGTTTCTTTCTCTGCAAGCCGATATATGAAACTAATACCTATTTATCAAATATATACATATGTATTTTTGAATATATGACCTAAACACACCCTTTTACCATCTCACGAACAATTTACATCCATATATAGTTGAAGAAAGTTGAACATCTGAAATTGGAGTTCAAGGTGGTTTCTGTGGAAAGTGAAATCTTTTTTGAATTTATTCCTGAGAATTTCTTCTCCTGTTCATGGTCTTCGACCATGGTAACTCCTATAAGTTATTTATTTTTTAAGTTCTAGGAAGAAAACAAAATTTACTTGCTATGGCCTGATTATTTTGTTTATGGTATGATTTTGTACTTAGGTTTGATCTTTCTGGTAAGTGCAACAATGAAGCCATGAAGGAAGAATTGGAAGAGAAGAGAAGGGCTCAAGTATGCATTCTTTTTTCCGTGTCTTATAAAATAATATGTTTTTCACATTGTATGTAAAACGCTAATTGGTTTCAATACATGCAGGTGGTGGTGAAACTCCATGCCATATTGCGTCCCTTCCTCCTTCGAAGAATGAAAGCTGATGTTGAGCAGATGCTCCCTCGAAAAAAAGAGATCATTTTATATGCTAACTTGACTGAGCATCAAAAGAATTTTCAGGATCATCTAGTTGATAAGACACTGGAAAACTATTTGCTAGAGAAGTTGGACACTGGTAACGGAACCATTTTTTTTCTTAAAATCTCCATTTGCCAGATATTGAACCACTGTGGAATTACAACAAAAAATAATAAAGGGGACATATTCTCTATGTCAAATTCCTTGCAATTCCTGAATATCCTATTCCCCTAGCTTTACAATTTATAATTTTTTTAATAAAAAATTGAGTTTTAGTACAGTTTCTGGAAAGAGAGTTTCCAAAATTGCAGGCAAAACATACTCAATGAAATGGAATTTATTCAGTAGTATGCATTATCAACCAGAGAGTGCCAAATGGGGAAATCTGCCAAGGCATTATGCAATATATCAATGGAGCACGATATGCAATGGCATATGTTCTAATTGCTTCCTGACCATGGGTTAAACGTTTGGAATTGTGGTTTAGGTTGGTGATCAGGTTGAGGTTAGAAGTAGATTGGTTTTGTGATTTACCATAAGAATCATAAGATGGTATCATGTTGTCGTATTTGTGACTTATCAGAAGATGGTATCAACTATCATGTTGTCATACTTTCCTTTTGTTATAATCCTCATTGATCTGACCTGGATTGGGTCTTCGTTGAGCATGCATAAAGTAAGTTGTGGATATTAAATCAGCCCATTTATTGCACATTTGTGGTAGACTACTAACCTTTAATTCACCTCTAAATATTTTATTTCATATTATTTCATAAATTTCCAAATTGAATTTTAATTTTATAAATTGCAGGACGTGGAATGAAAGGGAAGCTTAATAATTTGATGATTCAACTTCGGAAGAACTGCAACCATCCTGATCTCTTAGAGTCGGCCTTTGATGGCTCATGTATGTTTTTTGCAATTGATCAACTAGATCTAGAGTGAAAGGGTTCTCTTAAACTTTGAGTCAGCCTTCGATGGCTCTTGTATGTTTTTTGCAATTGATCAACTAGATCTAGAGTGAAAGGGTTCTTTTTAACTTTTCATCTTTTCCTGCTTCTTTTCTCGACAGATTTCTACCCGCCCGTAGAACAGATAGTTGAACAGTGTGGCAAGTTTCGATTGTTGGACAGATTGCTGAAAAAGTTATTTGCTCGCAATCACAAAGTACTCTTTAGAGTTAATTGGTTTTTTTTTTTTTTTTTTTTTGTTCTCACTAACTTCTTGTTTCATACTACTCATCTTTTGTTATAATGACAAACAGGTTTTGATCTTCTCCCAGTGGACCAAGATTTTGGATATAATTGATTACTATTTTAGTGAAAAGGGATTTGAAGTTTGTAGAATCGACGGCAATGTAAAATTGCCTGAGCGAAGAAGACAGGTAAGTGCTACCTCCTTAAATATTTCGGGTTGATATTTTGTTTATAGAAATTTCCCGCCCTTTTTGAAAAAGTGTTTTGTGTTTTACTTTTTATACAATTCACCAGAATTGTTGTTTATAGAAATTTCCCGCCCTTCCAGAATTGTTGGGCGAATCTATACTCTTAAGGCTGACTAGTGCCACTAGGCTAATCATGGAGAGGATGCAATTACTTTTTTCTTTGGGTAATCAGGGTGCTTTCTTTTGTCCCTGGAATTCTGTTACTTTCTTTTGATACTCAAGTTGTGATTCACTACACAATCCAAATTTAATGCTACAACCTTCTTTCAAGCGTGTTCTGCTTGCTGTCATATAATCCCAGCTCATGTCATGTTGACATTTTCCCCTTCAAGCTTACAAACCTGCACCTTGGAATATGATCGTCCTCTTTGCCACCTTTTTTCCTTTTATGATTTATCTCTTTTATAAATTTTAAACTTCTTTTGCATTCCATGCATTTTATGTTTGTCGATGTTTCTTGTATAATGTCTAACTTGTTTACAAGAATGCCTTCATATTTGTTTGTTATTACTGAAGGAAAATAACATTTGACTTACTGGCATCATGTAGGTCTCATTTGGACCTAGTTTTGGTATTGGTATTGGTATTTGAATTTTGGTTAGTGGAAGAAGTGGTTGCATTTATTTATTTATTTTTTGTTTCCCTGGTCCGCACTTTGTTAATGAGATGGTGTTTTGTCCTTCCACTCTGGGGTGATGTCCATGAAATAGCTAGTTACATTCATTCAAAGGGAACTGATTCTTTATAGACTATTTGCTCTCAGTTTTAGTTATCCATACAAAGGTTGCATTTTTTTTTTTTTTTTAAATTGTTTCTCTAGTCGGCACTTTGTTTATGAGATTGTGTTTTGTCCTTTCACTCTGTAGTGCTGCCATTATCTTTTTATATTGTATAAGAAGCCTATTTTTCTTCTTACTTGTTTAAAGTTTATAGTTTTGGTTTATTGATAACCTGCTATTTTTATCAAACAGATCGAGGAGTTCAATGATGTGAACAGTAATTACAGAATATTTATTCTCAGCACTAGGGCTGGTGGGCTGGGTATCAATCTTACTGCAGCTGATACCTGCATTTTGTATGACAGCGACTGGGTGGGTTCTCGTTATTGCACAGTTTTTTCTTTATTTCTATGGTTCTTTTTATTGGCCTTTTGAGCTTTTTGTCTTTGTTTCAATGCATTTTGATATTTTTTAATTTCTAACTTGATTTATTTTATTGGATTTGCATCCCAGAATCCTCAAATGGATTTACAGGCGATGGATCGGTGTCATAGAATAGGTCAAACAAAGCCGGTTCATGTTTACAGGCTGTCAACAGCTCTATCGGTAGAGGTACTTTCTTATGATTGGCCTTGTTCATGTTCAAATATAATGCAGTTAAATGTTATTTTAGTTGGTAATGAAAGAAACTGAGGAAGCATGTGCTATCAGGGTCGAATTCTGAAGAGAGCTTTCAGTAAGTTAAAGCTTGAGCATGTGGTGATTGGTAAAGGGCAGTTTCAGCAAGAAAGAACCAAGCCTAACAGTGCAGATATGGAGGTTTGTAATATATGTTGTTATAATATTTAATATCTGCAATGTATGGTTCTATTGGCTCTGTCGTACCATTTGTTGCCATATTGATGTTCTGTAATTGGACAGTGCTTTTGTTACCCGCCGTGCGAACACGGGGGTGTGTTGATGATGACTCCATATCTGAAATCCCGATCATGTACTCTATCCTCTACAAGAGACCAGAACAAACATATGACATGATTCACTTGTAACTAGTCTGAGTTATTTCCAAATTCACAACACATTCAAAATAAACTTCTTCGTTGCTGCTAATATAATGTCCTTGGGAACTGTATAGGAACTGAAAACTCGAGCTTCATATTTTGATAGGCCGTGAGGCTTGGCTCAGGTTTCTTACTGTTTTGGTGGACTCATCACAGATTTGGTAGGCATTGACTTGGTTGACTAGCCTAGTGTTATGTGAATGTCCATGAATTTAAAATCAATTAGGTTACATGCTTTAGTTTGTGAAGGTTTTCTGTTTTCCTCTTTATCACTTGTTGGAATAGTGAAATTGCTGAATGAATTTTTTAACAATTTAGATTATGACAATCTGTAAATTGTGATGTTTATATTTTTCTACTAATGGAACTATTATTTCAGGAAGAGGACCTCTTGGAACTGCTCCGAGATGAATATGATGCAGAAGACAGGATGATACAAACAGAAATTAGTGATGAGGATTTGGAGAGGGTGTTGGATCGCAGTGATCTGATTGCTTGTCCTCCATCAAATGAAGGTGGACAACCTGATTTTGCTGCTAGTGTGCTCCCCCTTAAAGGGCCTGGTTGGGAGGTGGTGATTCCAACTGCAAGTGGAGGCATGCTCTCCGCTCTCAACAGCTGATAGACTTGTTTAATGTGGAGATTTGGGTCGCAGGTTTTTTTGGATGCTATATTGAGATCCTGCACTTTCCGAGTATTTTTGGGATGCCATTTTTTTTTTGGCATTTTTAGGATCCTGGAGTATTAAGGGTGGGATTTGCCCTAGCTGAAATATGCTTTTGGTGAGCAATGTCTCTAATTATCTCCCTGGAATGGAGCTATTTTGTAAATGGATCAAAAGTATGTCCAGTGTCTTACTAAAGTTATTGGATGACATTTCAAATAGTCGAATGAGAAATTATGAAAATTCAGAGTGATTTGGAAGAATTTAACTGGCCTTGGCAGTTGATGCAACTTAAATCTTATGATCTATATATGCTACAGGATAGGTTTAAATGTAATCCTAAATGTTGGCAATTTTTGGCTTTCTTTATTTTCATTTTGAAAAATGTTACCTAAAAAAAAAAAAAAAAAAGTTCTCAATTTGTCTAAATAAAGTTAGGAATTTGATTTGGAAGAATTTAATTTGCATTGCAGTTGATGCAACTTAGTATATCTTATGATCTATATGTGTTTCAGGATGGGTTTAAATGGAATCCTAAATGTTGGCAATTTCTGGCTTTCTTTATCTTCATTTTGAAAAAGGTATAAATAAATAAAAAATAAAAAAAAAGCAAATCAATTGGTCTAATGAAAGGTAAGATTGATTTGGAATAATTTGATTGGTGGCAAAACAGTTCCGTTGCCGGGAATCGAACCCGGGTCTCCTGGGTGAAAGCCAGATATCCTAACCGCTGGACGACAACGGATCATGTTGGTAATTGTTCACTTAATCTAGTGATGGAATTATAAAAAAATTAATTACACACGTGATGTAATTGTTAATTGTTGTTATATATGCGTGCATATACACTAGAGTTAAGCATGGATGTAAAGACAATCGAGACTGAAGAAGAAGTATTTATTGGATGAAAAGGTTAAAAAACCAACACATTATGATTTTATAATCAACTTAAATCTAAACAAGATGATAGTTATGTGCTCTTTTTTGTATGGGTTGGATAAAGGTTTTTATTTTTTATTGGCAAAAAAAACTTCGGGGGATTGCCTCGTGGGACTTGATCCTCCACCATCTATTAAGAGGCATGAGAGGAAAACTATTAGAGGGTATTCATTCTTTGAGTTATGAACTTATGATGGGTCGCAGTCTTCTCAAATCAACTCGAAAAATAGACCTGGACACACTCTCTCTTTCCGATTTGAACCATGAGTTAGCCAACTAGAAAAATGGGCTGGCCTAAAGTTTTCAAGGCTGCATTTTAATTTTCTGGGTTGATCTTAAGTACCCTCACAAGGTCGGTTTTGGACCAAGAGGCCCCAACATATACAAATGTTTGAAAAATTACAACTTAATGGTCAAATTATATATATATATATATATATATATATAAACCATAGTCAGTGAGTTGCACTGAATTATATTAAACTACTGATAATTTTCATTATTTCATTGGGACCATGGTCACTGTCAAATTATTTTCAGCTTCAATCTTTATATTAAAAAATCCAGTACAACACTCACTCGCTTGAGTGTGGTTAAAATTGCAAGTGAGCCGAGTATTAGACAATATGTTCATGGTTGGATTAGCATTATATGAGTTAAATTGAACCAAATGATTTTTTTATTATTTATTTATTTGAATGTAACCAACAAGTTCAAGTTAAAATGTTGGTTAAACAAAGTTAATTTATCTATGCAAAAGAAGTTAAAAATGAAGAGCGACTATTTTATGTTCAAACTTCAAATTCAATTTGATTATATTGTTTCAAACTTGATTTCATCGATAATTTAAGCAAGCAATCATAAGCGGGTTGGAAATTCAAACCCCCTTAGCATCACTTACAAGAACTTTTCGTTACCTAATGCTATAATTATTGTAACCAATATATATATATATATATATATAAATAATATTTTTAGAGTATAAATTTACTCAAAAAAATATAATATATCCACTATTTCTTAACCTGAAAGGTGAGAGTTCAAATTTTATGTTAATTTTTTATGAATAAAAAAATAAATCTAAAAATATACTTTAAACTTATTATTAGGAAGTAATTATTCAAAGAGCAGTGATATTTTCAAAAACACTTTTGTCTTCAAGGAAGTAGCATAATGCTACATTACCATAAATGTCACGGTACAAATCGGTGTGTTTGGTTGGTTAAAAAATAATTTCTCTTATTCAAAAACTGCTCAGAGGAAAGAGTACATTTCGTTTCCTTTCAGTCTACCAGAGGGAAGAGTACTCTTTCCCTTCCCCTCCGTTCCTTTCAATTCACTTTTCCATATATGCCACCAAACGGACTACGAGGGAAGTTGGCGTGGTTATACCAAAGGAAGGAGGTCACTGTTAAGAACAGAGGCAATAGATTTCAGTGTTTGGCACTGTTTCTTCTCCTTTGCCCTGCTAATTCAATTAAGCTCGTCTGGTTCTTCGATTCTAGGAAGACACCTAACGAAAATCTCTCATTGAATGCGTTTGGTTTCAGTTTGAAGTCAGATCAGATCAAATCAATCACCGGAAATTCTAATTCCCTATCGGAGTTTCAACACCAATTCTGCGGTGAAATTTGGGAGTTTCAGTTCAGTTGGAGGAGTCGGAGACATATCTCCGGTCTCAGAGAATGATAACTCGTTCTAAACTCGTCGAGCAACTCAGAGATTACCAGATCCGATCTCAGCACAAGTGCCCTGCTCTCACTTTCTTCTCCCCCAAACCCAATCTCACCACCTGGTATCTCTTTCTCTGTATATATATGATTTATTTGAGAATGCTCCGTTCGATTTAGTTTTGGTCCTCTGCTTCTTCCTTTTTCTAAAATTTGAAGTTTTCTTGTGTCAAATATGTAAGAATTATGAGCCGAACCTTAGATATAGCTGCTTCACGGAGAAATTATCATGTTTATAACGTGTTATTGTCTTATAGTATCTGTTGATTTTCGTGTATTATTGAAATATTTACTATGAAATTCTGGGAAAGTACTTATAAAATGATAATATAAAGATGTCTAATTAATTTCCGCGTTCTCGGTATCTTATTTAATCTAATGGAAAGTTTTTCTAAAGTTTCATTGCTCGGTACAAAGTTTTTTTTTACAATTGTCTAGTTGGACAAGTTTCACTAACGAGTAAGGATAAGTTTTGATAAATTGCTAATTGTTAGTATAACTAACTGTTGAGATCAATTACATATTCATTTATAGCATGGGAAAAATGTTCCTTAGATGTTATGTTTTAGAAGTTGAAATCAATTATTAAATTTTTGGAAATGGAAGATAGTTTTGAAACCATTATTAATAATGGGCTTTTAGGAAGACCAAGAAGAAGTCACTCTAAAACTGCAATAAATGCCACACTGGGATCACCTTAGCCTATCATGTCTTCGGCCTGTATTGCATTTTTCTTCATTTGGATCTATTTGGACTTGGCTTGACTTGCTTTTTGGCACATGAGGTATATTGTTTATACTAAAACAGAATGAGGCTTAAGGCGCGCGCACACACACACACACACATATTTGTATGAATACGCCGAGGTCAAATTGGCTTGTTGGCCCTTCATATTCTTGCAGAAAGAGCTCTCTTCAAACTCATGTGGGTCTCTCTATGCTTGTGTCTCTGTGCAAGACTAGTGCACTGTTCTTTTTTTTCCTTTCATTTTTTGGTAAGTTAAGTCTAGGGGTGGCAATACTTGACATGACCCACTAACACGATTTGAGCACGACATGGGATAAATGGGTTTAGCTTTTGCTTAATCGTGTTTGAGTCGTAATCGTTTCTACCTAAATTGACATGCTAATTAAACGTGTCGGGTTTGACCTATCAATCCATTGATAATCTGATTAGACCGATTTAACTAAACGTGTTGAGTAAACGTATTATGTAAATGTGTCGTGTTCGTGCTAGATATGACCCGTTTATCTAATCATTTTGTATTCATATTAGAAATGACCCTAACATTATAATTTTTAATTAAATGTGTTTTATCATGTCATGTCAGTCACCCATTTATTAAACAGGTTATGCGGGCCGTGTTATGTTACTTATTTAATAATCGTGTTGACCCATATAACAGGATATCCTAACACGACATGATATGGCAACACACATTGCCACTCCTACTAAGTTAATTACGTGTTTTCGTGCATGTATTTTTTTCTTTAAACCACCATTTGAGCAGCTAATGGCTTCAAAAATTAGTGTTTTAATTAAGTTAGGCAATCTGTGACACACTGTGGGTACACTTTGGATTAAATAGTTACGTAGTTGCTTTTGTAGAGGAGGGTCCAAATATCATGCGCGCGCGCGCGCGCGCGCGCACACACACACACACACTCCCTCCGTCCCATAATATATGTCCCTTATGGGGAGTAGAACTTTTCAAGGGGACATGTAATTATTGCATTGTCCCCTTTGAAAATTATAAAGTTACCCTTTCAAGTTTAAATATATATATAACCAAGTTTGAAATTTTTTAAAATTTTAAGGGTATTTTATGGAAAGATGTGAAATATGTTGTTTAAATTTGGTAAGTGGACAAGTATTTTGGGACAACTCAAAAAAGAAAAATGGACAACTATTATGGGACGGAGGGAGTATATTATATATTTATTATACACAATTGATTACTATTTTTTTTATTTTATTTTTTATTATCAAATCATTAAATTAAATTAAAAAAATGAATATATGTGATGATATAGACTATAAATTTGAGATACGATAATACATTAATATATACGTGTATACGTATGTCTCTGTGTGTGCGCACATATATATACTGATATGCCATCATATCTGGGCTAGGGTGTGAACTTGTTTACTTATATTAGTCCAATAACGTTTCAACATTTTTATTTGATTGGGGGTCAATTTATGCATTATGTGTATATCCAATGAATTTGCAAGCATAAGGGCATTATTTTATCTTGGTTCCGCTAGGGTAGGCATCCGGGGAGGAGACCTCGAGATAGATCTAACCTTTGCTAATTCACATATTGGTTGTTAGGAGGCTTGAACTCGCACCAGTGACACTGATTCTCTTGCGTTTTACCAAATATGATCTTAGGAGGTTGTGATGCCAAAAGGATGCCTTTTGACGGTGTTAAAAACTTTAACTACATATGAAACTACATTTTCGCTTGTACAATTGCAAGGGGAATAAAGGTCTTCAAAGTCTTGCTTCATATATTGGGTTCAAATGTCTTTTCTATAACCGGGTTAATTTTTTTTTTTTTTTTTTTTTTTTTGGGGGTAAGAATTCTTAAGGAATGTATGGCATAAAAGTATAAACTCATTGAGGTGGGGCCAAATGTGTTGAAGGTCTGACAGGATTGTGAGGAGTCTTTGGGGTGGGAGATTTGTGGAGTGGATTGCTTTGGATGCTGTTGGTTCCTCGGGGGGCATATTAATTATGTGGGATAACAGATGGGTGTCTAAAGTGGATGCTCAGGTTGGGCGTTTCTCTGTTTCATGTGTTCTTGCTTTGGCTGAGGTTGGGGTTCATTTGGTTTTTTCGGGTGTCTACGGTCCTTTGGAGGACGGTTTGCACCATTTACTTTGGGAGGAGTTGGGAGAGATTAGAAGTCGTTGGTGTTTGCCTTGGTGTATTAGTGGGGACTTTAATGCTGTTCGTTCTCCGTTTGAGAGGTCAACGGGAGGTAGGTGGACATCTGATATGGAGGCTTTCTCGGAGTTTATTGATGAGTTTGGATTGATTGATTTGCCTTTGGTTGGAGGGCCATTTACTTGGTCCAGTGGCCGATCTCCTCCTACCCTTTCTCGGATTGATAGATTCCTTGTGTCCGGGGAGTGGGAGGAGAGGTTCTCTGATGTTGTTCAGGCTACATTGGCTCGTCCTATCTCTGACCATGTTCCGTTGATGTTGGATTGTGGCGGTTTGTGCAGTAGGCGTTCTCCTTTCAGATTCGAGAACATGTGGTTGCGGGCTGAAGGCTTTCTGGAGAGGGTCCGTCTCTGGTGGGAAAGGTATGATGTGGTTGGCACCCCTAGTCATGTGCTAGCAGGCAGATTGCGTCTTTTAAAGGATAATCTTAAGACTTGGAATAAAGAGGTTTTTGGGAACCTCGAATGGAGGAAAAATCGGGTTCTTGCTGAAATAGCGGCTATTGATCAGATAGAGGGTCAAGGGGATTTGGTGGATTCTTTGAAGGCTAGGAGGGCGGAGTGCAAGGCGGAGTTTTCTGAGATTGCTGTCTTGGAGGAGATCTCGTGGAGGCAAAAATCTCGAGCTTTGTGGCTTAAGGAGGGGGATCGAAACACTAAATTTTTCCACAGATTGGCTAATGCTCATAGAAGAGGCAATCATATAGGGAGGATTCGAGTCGAGGGGGTCATTTTTTGTAAGGAGGAGGAGATTCGCAAAGGATTCTCAGAATTTTTTGAGAATTTGTTCAACGAGTCTGTTGAGTGGAGACCTTTGCTTGAAGGGTTGCAGTTTAACTCCATTTTTGAGGAGGAGTGTTTGGGCTTGGAGTTGCCTTTTTCTGAGGAGGAAGTTCTGTTTGCTTTGAAGAGTTGCAATGGGGATAAGGCTTCAGGTCCGGATGGTTTTACAATGAGATTTCTTCTTGAATGTTGGGAAGTGGTTAAAGGAGAGGTGATGGGCACTTTCCATGCTTTCCATTCTCGGGAATCTTTTGAGAAAAGCTTGAATGCCACGTTCATTGCTCTCATTCCAAAAAAGGGAGGTGCTTTGGATGTTAGAGATTTTCGCCCTATTAGCCTGGTGGGTTGCATCTACAAGCTGATTGCCAAGGTGCTTGCTTCAAGATTGAGGAAAGTGTTGGATGGCATCATTTCGGACTCTCAAAACGCTTTTGTAGGAGGCTGTCAAATTTTGGATTCAGTCCTTATTGCAAGTGAGTGTGTGGACTCTAGATTGCGTAGTGGAACCTCGGGTGTTCTTTGTAAGTTGGACATTGAGAAGGCGTATGACCATGTAAGTTGGAGCTTTCTTCTGTACCTGATGGGGAGGATGGGGTTCGGCTATAGATGGAGGAGATGGATTCATTTTTGTATTTTCAGTGCTCGCTTTTCGATCCTTGTTAATGGTGCTCCTACTGGTTTTTTCTCTAGTTCAAGGGGCTTAAGACAGGGAGATCCCCTTTCCCCCTTCTTGTTCTTGTTTGTGATGGAGGCCCTTAGTAGATTGATAAGAAGGGCTACCGAGTTGGGTCTTTTGAGAGGCTTTCGGGTGGGCAGGGAGGCAGATTCTCAGTTGGAAATCTCTCATTTGATGTTTGCTGATGACACTTTAGTTCTTTGTAATGTGAACGTTTCTCAGATTAGATATTTGAGATGTGTTTTGATTTGGTTCCAAGTTGTTTCCGGCCTTAAAGTGAATGTGGGAAAAAGTGTTTTGGTGCCGGTTGGGGAGGTCCCTGAGATTAAGACTTTTGCTGATTTTCTTGGCTGTCGTACTGGTTCATTTCCCATTTCTTACTTAGGATTGTCTCTGGGAGCTCCTTCGAGGTGTGTGGGGATTTGGGATCCAGTGGTGAACAGATTTGAGAGAAGGTTGGCGGGTTGGAAGAAGCAGTATCTCTCCAAGGGCGGTAGGGTCACGCTGATTAAGAGCACCCTCTCTTGTCTTCCCACGTATTTTATCTCTCTTTTCCAGATTCCCTCTTCAGTTGCGGAAAGGATAGAGAGGTTGCAGCGTAATTTTCTTTGGGGGGGTAGAGGTGAAGAGTTTAAGTTTCATTTGGTGAGATGGGACCAAGTTTGCAGGCCAATTCGCAATGGCGGGTTAGGTCTCCGTAAATTGGTGCCCTTTAATAAGGCCCTCCTTGGGAAATGGTTGTGGAGGTTCGGGGTGGAGAGACATCGGCTTTGGAGGAGGGTCGTGGCATGTCGTTTTGGGGAAATGAGAGGAGGGTGGAGTTCTTTGGAAGTTAGAGATCCTCGGGGGGTGGGGGTTTGGAAATTTATTCGGAAGGGTTGGGATGATTTTACCAAGCACATTCGGTTTCGTCTCAGAGATGGGAGGAGGATTCGCTTCTGGGAGGATGTGTGGTGTGGAGATGTGCCTCTTGCCCTCGCCTTTCCTCAGCTTTACAGGATTGTTATGGATAATCAGGCCATGGTGGTTAACTGTTATCATCTTGATAATGGAAGACTGGTTTGGGATGTTCGATTCAGACGTTCCTTTCAGGATTGGGAGATCGAGGAGGTCATTCGTTTCTTAGAATTGTTATATCGCTAGAGGATTGTGGAGGAGGATTCAGACTGTTGGTCTTGGATTGCAAACTCTCAGGGGCGCTTTGAGGTGAGGTCTTTCTTCAAGTGCCTCTCTTTTGTTCCTGGAGTTCGTTTCCCTTGGAAGTGTGTATGGCGATCCAAGGCTCCTCTTAAGGTGGCTTTCTTTGTGTGGACTTCGGTCCTGGGTAGGATTTTAACCCAGGATAATCTGAGAAGGAGAAGCCAGGTGGTGGTCAACCGTTGCTCTATGTGTCTTAGTGATGAGGAGTCTGTGAATCACCTTCTTATTCATTGCCCTTTGGCTCGAGAGTGTTGGGTTTTGATGCTTGGCTTATTTGGTGTTTCTTGGGTTATGCCTGGATCTGTTAGAGGGTTGATTGAGGCGTGGAGAGGTTGCCCTGTGGGGGTTCTCAGTCTGGATGCGTGGAGGGCTACGCCGCTTTGTGTGTGGTGGTGTTTATGGCTTGAAAGGAATAGGAGATTCTTTGAAGGAAAGGCTTTGTCGATTTCGGTGCTTAAATTCTCGATTATTTCTACTCTTTTTTGTTGGGTTTCAGGAAGAGATCATTGTTCTTTGGAGGAAGTAGTTGATTTTTTAGCCTCTTTGAAGGCTTGAGGCCTTTGTGGTCTTTTGTATTTGCATGGGTTTCGCTCCCCTTTTGAGCCTTTTTTTATAAAACTTTTACTTATCAAAAAAAAAAAAAAATTTGTGTTGAAGAGAGAACAGTACCAAAAAGGATGTTGACCAAGGTAATCAGTGAAAAACATGTTGTTTTATGACTTCTCAATTGATGTAATGATGCAAGATCAGAAGTTGAAAGGAGAGGTTATTGTAGATATTACCATTCACATCAATGTAGCTGTGCTATAGTGTGTCATTGTTCATACTATTGAGCCGGCTAAAAAGAACATACGCAAATACATATTTATAAGTTTCTTTATTCATAAATTAAAGGTGTGACTGAGATTAGAATAGTAACATGACCTTTATCAGTAGAGGAGGGATATCATTTTGTGTGTTGATTTGTATGAGGTTTTAATGGCCTTAAATGGAGCGGAATGGAAACATGTGATTCATGTAGCCGACCCCAAAAAATTGGGAAAAGGCTTGGTTGTTGTTGTTGTATTTTTATGAGGTTTTAGGAGATTGTATTTGTTGTTCTAGTTATTTATTTTTATCATCCTAGATTATGATTAATGGTCCATTTAGCAGTAGGCAAAAGTGAAGAGTGGATGGAAGAAAAGGGGAAAAAATAGGGGGAAGGGATAAATGGACTTGTAGGGTTTGGTGAGAGGAACAGGGGGAACACAAAGGAGGAGAAGGAGAGAGAGAGAGAGAGAGAGAGAGGGGGGGGGGGGGGGGGGGGGGGGGGGGGTGGTGGTTGTGTGGCTTCATTTCTGGCTCCACCATATCTTGCCTCTCAAAAAGTGAGACTGATGAGAGCCCCCTTTAAAAAAAAGTTATTTTAAAAAAGCCATTCCTTTTAGATGCAGAGAATTGAAAATGAAAATCACGCAATACTCATTTTCTTCTTTACTATATTCCATTCTGCCCGACAAATAAAAATAGGAGAAATCACTTTCTTTTTGCTATACAGACCTTGTTCATCATTCCCTTCTGCCCTTCTTTTAATTTTCAATCCCCCCTTACAAAAAAGGAACATTAGCAATCACTTCATGAAGATGTTCTTTTATAAGTGATATGAAAGACTGAAGAGACAGTTTGGTGTCTAAGAGTTCTATGTCTTGTTTATTTGTTTTTGTTCTCTCTTTTAGCTCCCCTTTGTCAAAAGAAAGTAAAAAAATAAAATAATGGGCATCATTTCATTTGTTATCACATGGATAGAGAATGTTTTATCCAAAACCTTGTTCATCTTCCTACATAAGATGTGTCCACTATTTTGACTTAGAAAAACTCAAGTTTGTGATTATCTGCAGGCCCTCTCTGAGTGAGTGAAGTGGTCCCTAATCATTTGTAGGTATTGCAAGACAGTGAGCTGGATATATTCAAATGGTTATTTATTTTGCTGTATGATTTGAGGATTAAACCATGAGAGATAGATCGAAGAGATTGTCTGCTGTAATAGGTAGTACCTTTTGAATGAGTTCCTTTTTGCACAATTTTTTATGAAAGTTGTTAACATCTAAATTAATCTAGGTGGCCAAGTTTTTCTTAAAGTTGCTTCTTTGATCCGATGAGAAAAGTGTAAAGGTTTATCATCTAGTCTCATATGGTAGGTTCTAACAAATAAATCATCTATTTAGTGTTACTCAGCTCTGAATTTAGTGAATATAGACTGCTTTAATGTCTGTGGGCCTTTGCTTCTTGGGAAGCTTTGTTTGATTGGTTGGGCGCTTCATAGTTTAGGGTAAGAGGTTTTCATTACTCGGCATGTCTTGGAGTAAGAGAAGTAAACAAGTTATGGAGATGTATTCAGGGTGCAACATATTTATCCATATTGATGGACAGGACCAAGGGAATTACTGGAGAACACTATTCTATAGAGAACATAATTATTATATAGCTTCACTAGAATTTTAAAGGTTCCTTTGATATCTTAATTGATGTGTTGGATCTCAGCTATTATTATGTTAGATATAATATGATTATCTTTTCAGTTTTGAATAAATTCCTTCCCTAAGCCAGCAGATATTATGGATTATTTATGCTATCCATTTACTTATCTCTTGATATACAGCATTGGGCTCCTGAAGCATTGGATATCATATTTCTTAGTAAGGATTACACAAATCAGGATCAAGAACACCGTGTAAAGTTAAAAGGCAACCAAGTCTATTAATATTGAATTTTCTGTTTGAGTTGTACAATTTTGGTTCTCATGGATTTAGGATTTTCTACTTAGTTTGATTATTTAGCACTTGTTTTATCTGAAAATTTAGATTAGGATTCAATGTGTTTCTCAATTTAGGGATCTTGTTTACAAATTATTTGTGTTTTCTTACAAATTGTTGCAATATTGGTTGATTTCGTATTTTCGCATGTTATCATATGGTCGCTTACATTATTCATGTTTCTGAAAATATGAGATAATACTTACCTCTCTCTGACACGTGTTTTTAGTTATTTAGCATATGTAAAGTAGTTAGTATATTGTAGATCACTTCTGTTGATCATTAAATTTACTGAAAATTATAATTAAAAAATAATACAAAATGGAAAAAATTACAAAAACTTGCACTTTCAGAGTTTGGAAGTTGGGTAGCCTAAACTAAAATTCTGCAATCACATCACCTAGTATATACACGAGGGTTAGCTGATATGGTAGCAAATTTAAGTACTTTACTGAATTTTTTGCAGAACCCTGAAGTGGATTATTTCTGATCCCTTGGCTGATGATAATTTTTGTCGGTCCCCGTGTTATTCATTGTTGACAACGAGGCAAATGAATTCCTCATCATCATCATCCTTGCCTCTATCCCATATGGGTGGGGTTGGCAGGCAAATGACTTGACCAAGAAGAAATGTTTTAGCTGTCTCTGTGTGCTACAGTGAAAATAGTTTGTAGGAAAATAATGCTCCCTTAAATTATTGATGGAATTTCACCTTACAAGCATGGAAATGTATCATGTAAATTCATTTAGCTTTGTAAAATATAGTCTATAATCTTTTCTTGCATAGACTGCATCCATAATTCCATTTGACTGACATAAATCTCGTGCTTACTGTTTCTTGAATACATCATATTTTAAATTTAGTTTTTAGTTCTTCCTTTACAACGATGCTACTTTCTAATTAATTTGGAGTCACGCTAAGCTTTTCTGAATGATCTAGATCAAGCTGGCCAGATGTTTCCCTGGTCTCCGATTCATTCACTTTCTCATTACTCAGTTCACTTCTTCACTTTTCGTATTTATGAAACCTTCCTGTCGTATCTGTGTGCATTTTTGTTAGTTGACAACTTGTCATGAACCAGTTTGTACTTCCTTGCTGCCATTGCCTTTAAGCACATTGAAGAACTTTGTATGCTATTAATGCTGTTAAATGTAATAAGAGATTCTGTTAATTTTTTTGCAGGACTGATGTTGTTGTGGCAGTCTTGTGGGCCTCACTGTTTTGCCTGCTTGTAGTTTCATCCAATGTGATGCTTTACTACAGATATTTTTGGTTTTCTTTTGTCGTTATATGTCTCGGCATCCTTATCCCCGTACGCTTGAGAATTATTAGGCAGTCACTGGCAAGGAAGCGGGATAGAAGATTGTTGTTACCATTGTCCATGTGAACATCCACTGCCATTGAAGCAACAGTAAGACCCAAGAACTTGACGGGCATATTGCGCACCTTTGTTGAACGGGGGCTTCTATTAGGTTGTTTATATGCTTAGAGCACTGATCTTATTCAGCTTCCTGACCGAATAGATGGTATGGTTCTTTTTTGGTCTTCATGATCCATACACATAGTCCTGAGAATTTTAAAATGAGTTGTTCCTTCCATATGTAAACCCCACAAATTTGAGCAGAGAGTTAAAGGTACCCTAGCTATTAAAATCTTTTCTATCATTGGGTTGTAAATTTTATTGCTTAAATAAATTATACACCTGTTCTTCATACCAATGTTATGCTCTTCAAGTTTGAGAAATTACTTGTTTGCAAATTTAGTGAGGAAAACGGTAAAGAGTCCTTTCTTTTGGTTTGGGGGGTGTGGGAAGGCATCCACGTGCATTTTTGTGTCTGTATATGTTGTGATTTTAACCTGCGCACATGTGTTGTCTAAGGAATTACCTACTTATATGCATTTTCAAATAAAGAAGCTCAAGACACCTCAATTATCAGATTTTTTTTTTTTTTTTTTGTTTTGTTTTGTTTCTGAGGTCATTATTGTTATGTTAGTATGAAAAGTGATTCTTTTATTTAAAACATACGAGTAATTAGCTTCCATAGAAAAGTGAATGAGTTGTATATAGAAGTTACGTATATTAGAGCAATTGAAAAATAAAATACATTTTTGTAAACAAGAACCTTGTAAAATTTGGATATATGGAAATGCTGAAATGGTTAAGGTTTGATAGAAGTTGGTATAAAATACAATTGCAGGCTTGAAGACTACCTCTTTTAGCAAAAACTTTAGATGCATAGTTTTTGAAAGTTCTTTATTTAACTTGTTAAAAAGTTACAATCTTGTTTTCACTTGCCTTTGATGCACTTAAAATTAAAAGTGTTGCTTTAGGTTTCTAAAATCCTCCTCTCTGATCCCTATGAAGCCAGACCTTAGTAGAAACCGTTTCTACTGTTAATGATTAGAAGCGAGAGCTTAGTAGAAATCGTTTATACTGTTAATTTGAGAAAACGAAATGTACAACAACTAATTTGAGAAAATGAAATGTACAACAAGTAGTGTCACCATTTTGCATAATTGATCTATATAACTAAATCATCGCTACTATTATCATCACCTTTTGTAGATTTTATGTTATGTTTTTTCTAATGGTTTCTTTAGAAAATTTTGAAAAAAATTATTTTCAATTTATATTATGAACAATCTAATTCTTATTGAGATATTAATAAGACACCAAAAACTGATTAATGATTAATGATTCTTAATGAGTATTTTTTCATTCAGTTATTTTTATAAATGAATACATGACTTTTAACTTATAGTTTTTGTATTAATGTTGTTGATATTTAATATAGATAATTCAATCATTTAGGATATTTTTCAAACAGGCTTCTCAAACATTTTTTTGTGTATTTATTTTTAGATTTTTTTGTTTTGCAATACAAAATGCAAAACAAACACATTATCTATTTAATTCGGTAGACTTTCACCTCCAAATAGCCAAGCACTTGGATATTCACCTTATATACAAATTCACCTTCCCAATTAATGGTCATGATTAAGCCTAATGAACAAAGAAGATTGACTCGCAAGTCGCAAGACTATAATATTGTCTAACATTCCATCCAAACCTAAAATACTTTAAGCACTCCACAACACCCTTGAATATTCTTTCTATTAGAAAATAGAAATATATATATAATCACTTTCTGTTCTTAAAGTTGGTAACAGAAAAATGTAATCGTATATCTCTAATATTGTCTCCCTTAATATCTTCCAAATGTTTTATATCATTTGATATATTAGCTTGCCTCTCTTCCTTTTATATACTTTTATTTAAAGAACATAATTTTTGACTGATTGCTTTTCCTATTTGATAAATATTTTAATGTGATTCTTCGAGGCTGTAAAGGATCTGCAACATATAGTTACTCTCGACATGACTGGACTAGTTTCATGTTTAGAAAAGTATGCACATTTATATAGGAATCTCTAAGCTCTTTACAGTGCATATGTAATAAGCTACACCTATTTCTTTAGGTCTTTCAATTTAAAATTTAGGGACGGTTTTAGTGAGCAAGCAAAATAATAATTTTTAGGAAGGCACATGAGGGAGTGGGGACTCCCAATAATGAGCATGGTGAAGTGTGGATGCAACATGAGAAAGAAATACTAACAATACAATAATTGTATCGAGTGACATAATCCACGTTGAACATAGTGTTTCAAGAATGAAAAAATAAAAACAAAAAAGAATGACGGTAGATAGAGTGGTAAAAGCAAAAATTATGAATCCAACTCTAAAGAGTTGGAAAAAAAATAATAATAATAAATAAATAAAAACATAAAACTCTAAAGAGTTCATACAAAAGATTTAGTTGAGCTGAGTTGGTTGAAAATAACATTTCCATCTCGAGTTTCATTACTTTCGCAGTGCTAAAAGTTGATCTAGAGTTTTGCCCTAAAGTTTGCATTCAAAGACACATTGAGAAGTGCTCTTTCTGTTGGGTTCTGAACTCAGTTTTGAAAATGTACTTTCTCAAACAGCCATAGCACTTTTGATTGAAATTCTTACGTTCATCTGAAAGAGAAAAAGAAAGTGATTTTTGTATGTTTTATAGGAAGCATTTTTTGAAAACAAAATTAAAAAATTTGTATGATTTACGATGACGGCAGCCACAAATTCAAAGGAATGGTAATTGGAAGTAGGGGTGCACAAAAAATCTATTGAATCGATAAATTGAACTGGATCAAATCGGACTGAAAGGTTTGGTTTAATTTTTTCACGGTTTGGTTTGATTACGATTTTAAAAACGTAGAACCCCTTATAAATGGTTCGGTTATGATTTGAGGTTCTACAAGTTTAGACCAAACCGAACTAAACCTTTATCTAGATTGTATATATATTTATATATTATATAAATTATAGAATAATAAGATTAGCATTTGAACCACTCAACTATATATCTTAATATATAATAATAAATTATATTATATATGATATATATGTTTAATTTCATATATATATATATTAGATTGAATTATAAAAAATTCTAGAACCGTGAAACCGAATCGAACCGAACACATTTTGGTTTGATTCTATTGATTTTACAGTTCGGTTTGGTTTTAATTTTTATATATTCATTATGAATGGTTTGATGTCAAAATATTTTCAAATCGGTCCAATTTGAACAGTGCACACTCCTAATTAAAAGAGTTCCCCAGTTTCCAAAATAAAAGAAATTATATATGCTTATGTAAACCTCTATTTTAAAGTTGATTAGACAAGGCAATACTCAGTTGCACATGTATATAAGGCCGAAAATTTCGGTGAAATAATACTCCACTAAGTTAAAAGTAATGTAAATTATGAATAATATCCTATAGTTTATATATAAGCTTATAATTAAAGCCTTTGCAGAGGAAAACTTTAATTGCCGTACTGAATATTGTATAAGAAGAGTAACAGCTAATGGAGATCTTCATCATGCATAATAACACCATCTACCTGAACCTGATACAGGAATCTTAACTCTCTCTCATCATCAATGGGGACCATGGCCTCCATATGACATAGCAGAAAGCAAAAGTAAGCCCTAATCCATCAGTGTATCCCTTATCCCAAGCTAAAAGGCTAGGTTCATCCCGGTCCTTTGTGCTCTACTTCTTTCACACCTATTCTCTTTTACTTATATATATATATGTGTGTGTGTATCTTGTCCAAATTCCTTTTGTTCTGGCTAAAACAAAAACAATTTCTAAGAGGGTTGAATTATAAACCAAGATGGTTGTCCGGTCCATTTACACTTCAAAATGAGAGATTATTAGTTCAAGTTCTCCTCTAGATAAAATAGTGTTAGTTGCCATGTTGTATCAGGTATGTATATATATCTTAATCACATAGTTCAGTCCAATAAAAAAAAAAAAACAATTAAGAAAAGCGAATTACCTGATCGAATATTTTTGATTGATTATTTATACACAATACATGTAAGTGGAGGGTCCATTTCTTTATCATTACTCTAGTAAAAAATCACTATTATTTATCAATTGAACTGTTATATCATTCTGCCTAATAAATCAATGCATCATTTTGGTGTAAATATCATTTCTCATAACAATCGAAATTTTAATAAACAATTCTAATTTATGAATCAGAATCATCTAATAATTTTTTTTTTTCGTAACCATCTTTTGCTTTACCTTTGGACGGATGCTTCACCAAGCATGATAGGGCGGTGGTGCCTTGATGATTGATGAGTTGGGGGTAGGGCTTTAGGTATAGCCGAAATGGTTACTTGGCCAACGACTCTTATTGTGGCCTTTTGTGAGCTATCATGTCACACCAACTATATCTGATGCAAAGCTTTGTGATTGGATCATTTTGTGATTGGATCATTTTGGATTGGATAAAGTGATAAGACCTCCTGAACAGGTTTTCCCTGCCTATTTGGAGGTTATTACTCTCCATTTCCCTCTCTTTAGGGTTAGGTTTTGGATTGACTAGTTGGAAACAAATATTGGTGCCAAATAATATAAAACCTTGGTATAACTGGTGACCTCTTTCGTATTCGATTCACACTTGGAGCCTCGAATGAAAATTTAACATCCAAATCACTGCTCAACAAATTTGAGATAGCTAATCTACAAAGGCTTCAATTCTTCTGGTGCTTGGTTAATAAAAATTTGCTTAATGGAGAGAGAATACACACACACACACACAGACAAAGACCTTGAATTGGTCAAATTTGCTTTTAATTACTCTCTCAGTCCCAGTTTAAGTGTCGTCATTGGGATTTGTGTCTCACAATTTTTTGTGAGTCACTGTTTCCAATGATGACACTTAAATTGGAACGGAAGGAGTATATGATCTTGCCCATCGGACTTGG